GCACAACTCTGTCTCGTATCCGATCAGACGGGCCTGGAGTGAAGGCAGCTTGGCCATTATGGCTTCTGCTTCTGGCATTTCTTCGCCCTCTTCTCCCACGGATCAGGTGGAAAGCCTCGTCGGATCTAACAGGAGATGAGGAGTAGTTTCTCTCGATTTCTCTCTTCTCTCTGCACTTTGTAATTTAAGTGAAATTCTTTTTACTTAGTGGAATCCAGTTAATTGAATCGACTCGACTGTTATTCTCCTGATCTGATCTGATCTTGTCGATGAAACGATTCTCATTTGAAAATTGAAAATCCTTTCATCGATTTCATAGAAACCGCGAACCGCCTCCTCCTCCTCCTCCATTTTCTCACCGCCTCCGATTCAAGAAAAAGAAATTAGGGCTTTTAAATCTTGTTGAGTTCGAACTTTCTGGATCAATTCACGCTGTCGCTCATTTGGAAGCTCTAACTACTACTAACAGATTGAAGTTTTTAATTCAACGTCCGGATCAATTGTTTTTTTAATTACGCTCTCATTGGATTAGGGCAAAATTAGAAGAATCTTATACATAATAAGATTTTGAATCATTACTGTTTTAAGGCGTGCACGTAAAGCAGCTGTTACCTTGGCTGGCTGGAAAGATTCTCATTCTTCTCCTTCAAGTTAACACAAGGATTTATTTATTTTTCCTTTCGTTGGCACAGAGGCAGAGTGAAAAAGGAAGAAAAAAGGAAATTGAAATTTGGCGAAAATGATGTTTTTAAATGTAAGGTGGTGTGTGGAGGCCCATTCTGTGCTGGAACCGAACCGAGCATGTGTAAACTGAGGATGGGCCCGCCCTGTGTGGGGCACCGACAACTATGCATAACTATTTTGGTTTTGATTTTTTTAATGTTTGAACTACTCTATTTATTTGTTTTGTTTTGTATGTTTTGCTTTCTAAATCTAAGCAAAAATTTGAAAATCAAAAAAGGCAAATTGATTATTAAATGGGCTCTCAAGAGTCTGAATAACTTAAATTTATACAAATTTTGAACATGGTATTAAAATTTTAAAGAGGTGAATCGATATTTACAAAACAAAATTTAGATCTGTTGGAGGTTGTTTATTGCTAGCCGCACATCAACATCATATGAATATTATGGAAATTCAGCCACATCTCAAGTACTGCGAGCTCGACGGATGGTAGCCGAGCTTATTTACAAACTGTCTATTAGCCGACCTATATTATGTACAAGCCGACCTTGAAGAACATCCACAGGTGCGAAGGCAACTAGGATGTTCTTTGACAACACGCCGCCTTCTTCGAGATGTCGGAGAGCCGTTAGAGTGCTTTGGAAGCCCTATCGGAATAAATAGAGATATTTGCCTCCACGCAAGATATGCAAAACTATTCTTCTGTGGGTAATGTTAGATCGAATTGTATACTGATTTGCTCATCGGAGTGCTAACATGGTCTTGCAGGTACTTCCAACTTTGGTACGCCTCATCCAAGCTTGCAGATTCCAAGCTTGGTCAATTTACAATCAAACAATACCCATTAATAAATACTCATCGCAAATCAACGACGAGAACTAAAACAACTTCAAACATCCTTATCACACCAAAAGAAACAAATTTAAGCATAGCTCAAACAAGTGATTAAGTCAATACCTGATGATCTTTTGGTAGGTACTATGTAGAAAGCAAATTAATTTTCATTTGTTTTCATAGCTAACGATCACTTTTCACTAGGCAATTACGTTATCTTCCATGTAGCTTGTCCATTTCCCTATTGCCCAAATTACACTTCTTTGTTAACTAACCCCACACAACTCCTCTACAGATTAAACTTTATATATAGAGAGATTATTATTATAGATCATATTGAAGAAGAAGAAAAGAAAAAAAGAAAAAAGAAATGGGAGGAGCTGAAATAATGGTTGCTGGATCATGTGTGTTTGATGGGATGAGCATATCAATGGAAGATTTTTTGATCGAGAGAAGGCCTTATCATCGCAACTGTGGCTGCAAATTACACATCAAAAATGGCTCTTGCCCACATCCTCCTTTCAAAACTTCTTCTCTTTCGTTTATGAGAAACCAAAAATGGACCAAAACTACTTCTCTTCACATTCAATCTGCCTCCAAATTCTCCTCCCTTCCTTCTCCACTTCGACGCCCCGAACCAGATATTATTACTGACGAGCTCATGTGACAAGGTTCGTGACCTATTTGTTAACGTTTATGTTTCTTGTTTCTTACGTCTTTTTTTTTTTACAATTTTGAATAATCATGAACGGTTACTTTTTATTGTTATAGTGATCTCTAGAGAGAGAGTTTACGCTCTCTAATCATATATATGTGGGAGTGGAACTCTTCACGAGGAAAGGTTTTTTTTTCTCTCTTTGAAAAAGAATGAGTTGTGTAGTTTGATTGCCTATAATTTAAATGAAATAAACTATAGTGGGTTCGTGTAGATCTTAATATTATTATTGTCTGATTGGTGATCATGCTTTTTTAATGTATTAATCTTCGAGGATGATAAATCTTTGCTAATTCTTTACGTTTTTAATGGGTGGAAAGTTCAATTACTTTAAATGAAAAATAAAAAAGATAGATCTATGCCTTCTCATTTTGCAATATCATATATTTGTTTGAACAATGGGCCAAATCTTGAGTAATTTCATCTTAAACACTCAAACTATATTTTTGTGACAGATTTGAGACTATAAAATTTAGATTAAAATTCAAACTTGTGATAAATTTTCAAGTATTAAAATAGAATAGAGTGGTTAAAGATTGAAAATTTAAGGTACATACCATGAAGTTATAAATAGATGAATTAAGAAGAAAAAAAGATCTAAAAACTATATTTTCTTCAAAATATAAAAATAAAGAATTTAATCAATATTTAAATTAAAAATGAGATTTCTAACATGAATATAATATAATTAACTGCAAAAACATATAACTTTCTCTTCTGAGAAGAGAAGAGAGATTCAAATCCTCACACCTCCATATTTGTTTGTATTTAAAAAAAAAGATATTTATACTTATTTGAAAAAGTAGATATTTGAATTTTTTTTTTTCGAAAAGATATTTGTTTAAGATTCTGACTCAGCGGGAATATACTAGGATTTATGCCAGCTTGGGTCATGAAATTCTTGGGACGATCGGTTTTATATGCCGACATGTCGTTGTCATTTTAGTGAAAAATGATTCTGAATTTTATTTTAAATCTTTTCCACGTGACGTGTAAGAATTTGTATGGGCGGACCAATCAAGTTCCCTTCAATCTATGTCAAAAATAAATAAATAAATAAAGTCAGATTGAATCTTATAATAAAAAAATAGAGTTGGATTCAATCAATGGAAATTTGTCTTCATGTTTATCCATGTGCTCTCAATTTAGACCACTTTATAGGTAAGTAATTCAAAATGTTAAGTTGATCTGGACATAATTTATATAGTAGATACTTGTGTCTTGCTGTATAAAAAATTTTAAGGTAAATTAAGTTACTTTTCTACAAGTTGTCTATTTCATCTTTAGTGTTGGATTTTTAATGAACCAATTTAATGATCAAAGCGAGCATAGCTTATTGGTAATTGACATATATTTCCAACTAAGAGATTGTAAGTTCGATTCCCACCCCACATATTGTACTAAAAAAAGTCAACTTAACGAAAATTGACATGGTGTATTTAATAATAAAAATAGCTAGTGTGATGCTTTTAACATTAAAGAAAATAACTATTAAAAAATCTTTCTTGCAAAGCTTGCCACCATCATCTGCCCCTTGCCCCATCGTTGCCCCACCCTCCCCATCGATCCCGGATCGATAGAGGAACTTAGGTATACAACTTCCAAAAAAATGTAAGATATAAGAGGACTTATTAAAAATTTAGTTAGAAGATATTAGATTTTTAAGAAAACTTGTTAAGGACAACAATACCCCAAGTATTGTTCACTTTAGACATAATGCCCTTGTGGTATTGCCCATAATGTTTCAGGACTTTAGTTTTGATTTCACCCAAAATATCTTATACCGATTAAGATAATTATCTTGCTCCAATTTCATAAGTTAGTGCACGAAAAGAAAGAAATTATTTTTTTAACACAACATGAGGAGGCGGAGGATCGAACGCACAACTTCTTAATTGAAAATATATATTAATTACTGCTGAACCATACTCGCTTTAGTAGAAAGAAAACATTTTGATAACTAAAAAAATGTACAAATTATTCTAAAAATAACCTAGTTAGCTGCGTACCCCACCCCTCATTAACCTCTTGACTTACCTTATGCACTTAATTATGCAAACTAAAAGCTACACAACTAAGAAAACAAATAAAAGACAAGAATATTAATAACTCTAAGAGAATCACATAAGAAATATATAGATTTCCGTCCTCATCCTTATTAAGTAATTTCAACGATCTCTACCATGATCCCAAGAGTCTCCTTAGTCAATAGTGTACAACTTACCTTTTTGCTTTTTTTTTTCAAACTTTGAATCAGAGTTGCAACATCGTAGCTAGGGATGGCAACGGGGCGAGGCTGGGCCGGGGGCCATCCCCATCCCCACCCCCGTCCCCGAAATTTTGGGGGCGGGGACGGGGCGGGGATTCCCAATCGGGAACGGGTTCCGCTGGGAACCTGTCCCTGTTATAAATATATTTTTTAATTTTTTTAATTTAATTTTTAATTTTTTTAATTATTTTTTGTTATTATTAATATAAAAAGTGAAAAAAGTGGCTAAATGAGGTGTTAACTTGAATTTTTTTAATGTATTTATAAAATTAATATATATCAATATTATTATATAAAAAATAGAAAAAGTAATAAAAAATTAATCGGGGAGGACCGATCCCCATCCCCGCCGGGGAACCCGATTGGGATCCCCGATTTGACCGGAGGGAATCCCCTACCTGATCGGGTCGGGTACTCGTGGGGATCGGGTCCCACGGATATTTTTGCCATCCCTTATCGCATCTACAGTTTAACATCCCAATTCACTAAAGTCACTTAAAACTTTTAAAATATATTCATCATATCTCTTTGGCAAAACAATATCTATGATTATCAAAATGTATTATTATTTCAAGTGAATGATTTAGATCAATGAATTGCACTCCAACTATCATGTCAAACCAAACAACTTAATTGTTATTGCAAAATCCAGAAACTAAACCATTGAGTCACATTACTCTCTAATTAGCCTCACTTAAAAAGACTAACACTGCTCTTACCTAATTCAATTATTTTTTTTCTAGTTGGCTTACCTAATTCAATTATTTTTTTCAGACTCCAACAAGTTGAGTTATGCTTATGTTAGACTGATTTTAGTGTGACAATGAGTTCGATTAGTCTAATTTTATAAAAAGCTTAGATTTCAACACCAATTTTCAAATCAAAATATGGGTCCACCATCAGGTTGAAGAGGAGAAAAGAAATCTCTTACCAGACCAACCGTGTCCCTCTAAATCAAATCGACCTTCATTTAATTATAGTCAAACCTTCAAAAAAATAATTAATGGTATAATTATCATCAACATCCTTTTAACATGAAAGAAAGGGGAAGTCAATTAATGGAAAATGAACCGAAGGCAAGAAGAACACAATTCAGAAATTACCAAACCCAAGAAGAAGAATAAGAAAAATGAACGAACCAATGTCCAAGGATCTAAATTCTTCCATATATACACATACCAACAAATAACATTTAATCTTTTCTGTATATAATCTCCTAATTATTTGCATTAAAAATCAGAGTCAATTTGTTCAATGTTGTTCTCTGGCCGCCATGGGCACAGCAAACCTAGCAGAGAAGCCAAGGGGCGGGCCATCATCTTCTCCATTGAAATTCAGAGCATAGCTTTCTGGGTCATACTGAAACCTATTCCTCTGCTTCTTCCCCTTCAAATAACCGCCCATCTTTCTGATAAACGTCTTCCATTTGGGTCCGGCCACCATCTCCGAAACCTCCTTCACCTTCTTCAATTTCCTTGCCATCCAAGATCCCTCTCCCCGCAGAAGATTCCTACCTTCGGAATCGGCATTCCGGTCGAATCCGAAGCCGAATAGCCGGAAACAGCCGCACCCATTTGGCGGGGGATCCTCTGGTTCCTCGTTGAGTGGCGAGTAGGGCATGGGGGGTGGCCTGGGTTGATGCGCCGCCATGGGAGATGGAGTTGGGATTTTGGGGTTGTTCAGTTGTGGAAGCCATGGAAGGAAATTGGAATGATATAAAGGAGAGTGGAAATAACGCAGAAATGGAGGGTTTCGATTTTGGGCGTAAATTTGGCAGATGGGTCAGTGGTTTCCATTCTCATCCTCATCAATTTTGCCTTCAAAATGTCCAAATGCGAAGCTTATATGACGTTGACGGGAAGTTTGTGAAAACCCCAATTGGCAAGTTTTGGACTTTTCCTCCCACTACAAAACAACCTTTTTCTAAATAAACTATTTTCTCTCTACCCTAAAACCAATTTACAATCAATCTTTCTTACCTTTCCCCAGACCCAATACTCGCCGGCAATTCAAATCCATCACTTGTAAAAGATTTCTTTAAGAAAATATAGCGTAAAAAAGCAGTCAACAAAGTTTGAGAAGGTGGGGAAGGGCAGGCCAAAAGAGAGTATAATACAAACAAAAATAAGTATATGAAATTTGGCCTGGTTAGCTAGCCAACAACGTGCGCATGAAATTTGACCTTGACCGGCATTCAATCTGCCGGCTGCGCACGCGGCATCCGCATATGATTCTAGACTCTCTACGGTCGTGGGCGCACGCGTCTGTAGAGCATCTGACTTTGTTACAGACACAGTGGGGAAGGAACCAAATCCAACTTCAGGAGAAAAAAACAAACCCAAAAATAAAAAAGCTACCATATATTTCACAAACCAGAGGGATTAAGACAAAAGCAATGGAGAAAACAAAGAAAACTTCTATTCTTGAAACGTTTATGAAAAGTCAGTACTGGTAATATTGAAACTTTTGAAAAAGCTTAGACTTAGGCTTTCGTCTTGTACCTTAGATAATGGCAGTCCCCTCCTCTCGAAGGCTTGGATTTTGTTGAACCATCTCCTCATGTAGTGTGGCCAAAGTACTAATATTGCAACTTCTATACAGTGGCCCATTCGAGATGGGTCTATATGGATCTGCCATTGGTGTATCAGTAATACAAGTCAATAGATACATGAGTCGATACAGTCAGGATAAGAATCAAATCCATAATTCAAATAAAAAATTATTGGCTATAAGTTATTGCCCAAAAGCCGACTGGATGAACTTCCAAAACAGCTTAGCCATTTTCAGAGAGAATTTCATCAACCATATCTCACTGCCACCCACATATTTTGGACGACCGCCGACCATCATCAAGATCAGGAAAATTCTCATGTTGGTAGACCCACGCCATTTTTAATATGATGTTGACATGGCATGTACTAAAGGGAAGGAGTATCCATACTCCCGTTTTTTCCAACTGTTTCTTGTAGTTCTTTAGTTACAAATACTGGACGTGCGGAAAAGAAAGACTGAGCGGGAAAAAATGTTGTTTATAAGAGATAGCATCAACTATATGATAACAGAGAGCTACTAGAATACAGATATATAGTTAGTACGTGGGGAAAAGGAAATATGCATCCACGTGTATAAATATATAAGATCAAATGTGCAAAACATCTATATTCTGTTAATATAGATTTACGCACAACAGGAGTTCTGATGTACTAAAAAGCTCTAGAAATTTAATGTGGTCTGCTACATCCCCTGAAAGATCCTATTAGCTGCCAGGTTTTTTACCTTGGCTTCTTTCTGTTTCTTATCCCCCCAAAAAAACAGAACCCTTTGGCTTCCCATCCATTAGAGAGAGAAGAAAAAGATTGTTCCTTTTCAGCTTTTCAGGCGTGAGAAACCTTAAATACTGTCAAATACTAAACATAAAAAACATTGGCAATCAATTAATCAAATTTGACTTAAAAAATTTGCTAACAAATAATCATAATCTAAGTAGTTGCGAACTGAAAAGGAGCTGTTGGGTAACTACTATGACCTATCTCTCTCTGTTAGAAGTCAAAAAACCACCTATTATATACCCAATCCCAAAACTGAGCAACGTACTTGTATCCGCCATTCTAAAGCATAGGCGTAGAGGGGCCATCAGCGAAGCAATACGCCTAAATTCACTTCTGAACATGGAGATGAAGTTGAGTCAGGATTACCGCTGCTGGTTTTCCTAAATTCACTTCTGAACTTGGAGATGAAGTTGAGTCAGCATTACTGCTGCTGGTTGGGTACTTTCTGAGGAACCTTTGCAGCCATGGAGCGCAATTCATGTGCAATTTCTGTGAAGTTTGGCCTCTCTGATGGCTCTGATGACCAGCATCTCTTCATCAGTGACCTCCATTCTGGGTCACAAGATTCCGGTATTGGCGGACGCAATGTGTTGCTTACTATGCCACCTGAATTTTAAATTGATAACAATCCCAATGATTTTGTTTTCATAACGAAATAAATGCTAGTGAAAATCATTATAGATATCAATGATTTACCTATGATGGCCCCATAACGCAAATCTGCATAAGGTTCTTCTCCAGTAAGGAGCTCCCATAAGACAATACCAAATGAAAACACATCAACCTATAACACAAATACCCAATCATCTACTCAGATTTCACACGTATACAAGGCAAACTACCGCAGGGACTAACATGAATTAGCATACCTTCTCGGAGACAAGATTGCTGCTCCCATTCAGAAGCTCAGGCGCCATCCATGGAAGTGTTCCCCGCACACCACCTGATATCAATGTCTGATGTTTCACCTTGGATAGGCCCAGGTCACCAACCTTGAGGCACAAGTAGCAAGGTAAACCCAGCTCTTCTAAACATTTTATATTTTAAATTTCAAACTGACACTTTTTTTGGAATGAGGAAGACGTCTGAATTTTTTTTTTTTATAAGAGGAGAGAAATGAAAAAAAAAAATACAATAACATTAAAAAACTGTCCGACCCCCTAAAGAAAGGGACTCCAATCCAAAATAATTGACGTCTAAAAGTACTTAGATGCAGACCCCATATGGATGTATTGAATTCTCTAAGATTTTCAAATTGAAAATTAAGAAAATAAGGATTGGAACTATATTACACTCTGATAGAGAAATAAATGGGCGATGGTAGCCTTCCAAGAAAGTTCTCTCTCTCCAGAAAAAACTTCCCAAGTGATTTCATATTAACTCTCACTTTCCTAGCGCACACTATTATTTTTTAATACAACAACATGTAAGGGTGGGGATTCGAACTCACGACTTTTTGGTCGGAGATAAATGCCTTAACCAGTTAAGTCTAGCTTAAGTTATCATAGAGCACTCTACTTCTAACCAACCTTTTGTAACGAACTCATTATCAAATGATCAATTTACCCTTAGTCAAAATCCTAAAAGAGCTCCATCCTTTTGCAGAGAATTCTGAGTTAAAACCACTAGAGTAGAGCGCCTTCTTTCTTTCTTTCCTTTTTTTTTTATGTCCGTGAATGTCTAAGTCAGCTTACACGCACCTCGACTAATCTTCAAATGATTCCAAGAATGCTCTAACCACAAATAACCCATTTAAGTGATAGGATTCCAATAAAGGGCTTCTAGAGAAAAATGCAAAATAGCATCTCTTGTTTACATTTTGGAGGGGGAAAAAGTAATTAACTCCTCTGACTCTCTTGTTCAGCAGCCAAAATTTTCCCGTCCTCCAAAATGATTTTAGAAATGGAATGTTTTTTCCTCGCCTTCTTCCATTTTGACTGGCATTTTTGCGTACACCAAATTTCCTCGTTGAAAATAATGTCCTACAATTTTGATTTCAAGACTCCAAAGCTTCGTTCAGTTTTGAGATATACCTTCCTCTTCCTCCAGAGCTCTAGGTTGTTAACACCACCGATATTCTCTTAATTCTACCCTAATAACTCTTTCACCTTCATAATTAAAGGAAGACCCAGGGGGTCTTTATGTTCAAAAAGCATTCCTTAGTATTCTGAGTACGAATACAATGAAGTGTCTCAAATTGCCTGATGGCTGAAGGAAAATGTGCCAAAGTAGACCCTTAAAATAACCATCTTCAGTATTTTGTATAAAAATACAAAGAAGTTTGTCAAATAGCCCAATACCCTGAAGGAAAATCTGCCATAGTATATCCCCACCAAGATATTAAAAAAGTACTTAATAAATGATCTAAAACAAAATTCCCTGATGCCTTTACTTAAAAACATGATAAAGCTGCATCTCAATAGGTACGTTGATCTCTTCATTGCTGTGCGTGTATTAACTGAATTCATGGTATTAAAAATATTTGCAAACACATCCATTGGGCTGGAATAATAATGATTAATGACGCACCCCTTAAATCTTTCTAGCTTTATTTAAGCCGCAAAAAATCGATATTTAAACTAAATAGAATGTACAACAATAATGATGATTCAGCTATCATCAACAAAATTACAAACCTTGCATATTGGCCGATGAGGATCCCGAAGGTTAACAAGCAGATTATCACTTTTTAAATCAAAGTGCACTATGTTCTTTCTGTGCAGGTATTCCATTCCAAAAGCCGCATCCATAGCAATTAAGAGGCGCTTACGCTTGTCAAGACTCCTGCATCAATGGTATTTTATGATTCTGAAATATAATAAATGGGTGCAGATGTACAACTAAGTTCAAATAAGTTAAACATATAAACGGAGAAAACAAATGTTACTTCTCGTTCTTCAGCAAAGCATTTCTGAGCGATCCATTAACCATATATTCTGTTACTGTTGCCACAGAGCCCTCAGGGCCATCAAGCACAATACCATAAAAAGCAACCACATTTGGGTGGTGCAAATCAGCAAGCTTAATTGCTTCATTCCAAAAATCTTCTCTCTGGTACGATACAAACCATCATATAGGACTTGAGTAAAGGAACGAAAAAGAACATGAATAACAAAATAAAAAGACCGCCAATTTCATCTTAAAAATACGACCATGCGATCTTGTTCAGAAGCCTTCCCAGCAAAACACCTATCATTGATTCGTTTGATAGCAACATCAGACCCCCTCCATTTTCCATGATAAACAGTGCCAAATGTACCAGAACCTAATTCTCTTAGTTCTTCAAGGTCACTATTCTTTATTACCTGAAGGCAAAAAAAAAAGGTCAAGATTACCGTAGAGTTTAAAACATAAAATACATCTTTAATATAGAAAATGGAAAACCCTATTACCTGCAAGCGGCCAATGCCTTCCGACATTGGGAAACCAAAATTTGCTTTTTCTGTATGTCTTGTCCTGACATCCTGGGCAAGGAGGAAAACATAATGACTATGACAGAAGACATGACATATTCCCACTTGTGCCACTTGAACGAATAACTAACCTCGATGTTATATTTAACATTATTTTGAACATCTTCTGTATTAGACTCACAAACCGAATCACTTCTTTCATGCAAGTCAGAGTTGGAGGATTTTGTCGACCGAAGAACAGAAGCAGCTACACCCTCGGCAACAGCTTGAAGATCTTTCCTGATTTGTTCCTCTGAAGAGCCTACAAGAAATTATATAAGATTAATCACACCCACAAACATGAAATAAAAAAGTAATGGATGCACGTACACTAGAAATACAGACTTTTGCCAGACTGGACAGTCTCTGAATTGGTACCCTTGTTCGAGTTAACCAATGGGTGACATATTCCATCATCTATTAACGCTTCCATATTTAGTTCACCAATATTCCTTAAAGGACTCTCTGCCAAGGGTTCCCTGGTGGACGCGGCTTCATTCCTTGGTTGAATTTTATTTGGCCTAGGAGGCAAAAAGTGGGCGTCATGCTGTAAGTTCCAAGGATCCTGATTGCTGAAGAGTGAATTTGTAGTGTCTTGTATATTTCCAGCCCTGCTAGGCAGAGAAATGGATTGGGCATCACCAGATACCATCCTGGATTCAAATAGAGAAGTGTCTTCCTTCCACTCAGCAGAAACTGGGACTTTATTATTTATATGATCAGCCTTCATGTCAGGTAACTGGGAATTTCTGCCATGACGAACTTCATTGGACTCCAAATGTTGTATTTCATTTTCTGATTGTGGTAATGTTCCGGGAGAACCCCTAACAGGAGGTGTATTCAGCAAATAGGGAACGTCTGATGAGGAGCAAGCCAAAGTACTTGGTTTCATATGATTTGCATCGAGAACCACTTTTGCCTCCACAAAGTTGTTATCTAGTAGAACTTCCCTCCCTGAGACTGGTTGTGAACTGCTATCGAAATTGTCCTCCTTCCTAGTTCTTTCAATGGGTGACTTGCAGCGATCCAAATTAGCACCAATATCAGTTGGGCAGATACTTAGAGTTTCCAAGTTTCCAACAATTGGTCTGAGATTGTCATACCAAATTCCAGTGTGGGCAGCATTTTGGTTAGGAATAATGCCACGGTGACTGTTAGAGCATTCTTTTGGATCTTCATGAATGCTGTAGTCYGAAGCAAGGATAGGAGCACCTCCAAAACAAAGATCGTGCTTATCCATGCCTGGATTTGGATGGAACTGATTCTCAACAGATGCATGATGCTGCTGGAAAGTATCAACCTGGCCAGGCTGAGGAATCTTGTCCACAACAGCAACATGGGGGGACTGAATATCACCTTGTCTCCCAGGAGCACCCTGCCGAGCTAAGAACCCACTATGATCTTTTAGAGTGCTGTCATTCTCGTGCTGACCCTCAATATGATTCAGGAAGCCAATTGCCTCAATTGAAGGTTTTCCAACTCCTGGATCCATAGGACTAAAGATCCTGGTTTGCATTCCAACTCCTTGTTCAATAGTTTGTTGCCTCAAAACTCCAGTTTCTGTAATATTTTTCAATGGCTGGGTTGTCAAATGATCTTCCGAGTGAAGACCATAATATGAAAATTTTGAATCAGATACAGGGTTTGTCAAATTTTCTCTTTGATCCTGCAACAAAGAATCAGAGTGCGCATGAGGCACTGCTTTCTGGCACGAGTAACAGTTATCCAACCTCTCAGTCTTATCAGAAAAAGCTGCCTGTTGATGGGATATCAATCCATCAGATTTAACTGCCTGATCAGACCATGGTACCTGCTGTAAACCAAATCCACCTCCTCCTGATACTGGAGGAGGAGCTGGAACCTGACATGAGTTGTAACCTTGTTCTGCAGAGAGCTGGACAAACCTTGCCCCAAATGTGCTTCCGTTGGCAAAATATTCAGTCTGGGATTGTGGATATTGAACCAACGATTGATAGGTATTTGGCCTACTATTGAGGTGAGAAGACGAGGGAGCCATTGTCATGTGAACTGCTGGAACAAACTGATGAGGGGTAATTCCAAGAGTATTTGGCTGTTGCATAAACATAGACCCAGATGTCCCTAAATGATGAGGATTTGAAAAGCCTAATTGTGGACGAAATTGTATACAGTCCACACATGCTGCTTGGTGGCGAGGATCAACAGAAGGCTGCAGTTGAGCAGGTGGTGGAAAGTCATTACCTGGTTGCTGCTGCATTAGAGTAACAGGCACAGACCTTCCCAAATCCACCTCTGACTGGGAAGAAGCTTCAGGAGTAACAGAGTTAACGACAGGAATCCTTAACGGAACAGCAGAGGGATCTACAAAAACTGCAGAGACGGGATCTATCTTCACTAATCCTGGGCCAATAGCAATTGAAGTACCTACATTTCCTCCAGGGGAGGACAACATTGCGTATGGAGGCCCACTCACAACCCCCAGATCGTTATTTGAAATATCAATTACCTCAGTCCCACTCAAGTCAGAATTCTGAGTTGAGGTAGCACTTGCAAAGCTCTCTTTCCTTGTGATACGGCCACCAACCCCATCAGATATTCCATTCACCGTCTCAACATATCTCTGCCCACTATCATGCAAATCCTCAAATTGCACCATACCTGAAGAGTCAAGTTCTGAAGCAGAGAACAAAAACATCCTCAATTTAGCCGAACCATCTGAAGACCTCTCAACCAACTTCTCATACTCATCCATCATATTATCAAGATCATCAGGGCATGAAACAGATACTAAAGCATCAAGATCCTCGTCGGGGAGCTGATATTTAATAACCACGGCCTGCCCGTAGGTATCAACCATCTTTTGCAGAAGCTCATTGAAAGTCACATCTCTTCTAACACTTATAATCCTTGTTTGGCCTCCAACATATCTCAACATACCATCACTCGGTCTAGGCAAAATCTTGCCACCGAAACTACACAAAAACTTAACTTTCTTTCTCGAAATGGAACCATCTCCACCCTCCACGCTCACTTGATCGGCCACACTCTCACCTACCGAATTCCCCAAGTGAGAGCCAAATCCAGAAGTACTATCACTACTCATCTGATCACCGTTGGCAGCAACCTTATTGCATAAATCGTTACTATCCCCAGACCCCATTGAGATATCATTGCTCGCAAAATCCATGCCACCTCCCCCAACTCGATGACTCAAATTTGGACTATGATTAACCCCAACTGTCATGCAACTACTAGCAAGATCAATAGCATTAACACCACCACGATTGCTGCTGACATTCAGATTCGAGCTGTAACCAAACCCTACGGCAGGAATTGTGGCAGGATGCGCAACAGGAGAAGGCATTCGAGGGCACCATGGTGCAACACCAGTAACCACATTCCCATATCCTAGCCCGACAAATCCCACATCGGAGACATTTCCCTTATAAGGGACAGGCACAGAATCAGTGCTCACAATGTCGGGCGGAGGGTTGGGGATGAACCATTCGGGATTTCGACCCGTAGTAGCAACTGGCGTAATGCGGGGATCATCAACTATAGTTCTAGCTACATTCAAAGGCCGCAGGCCTTTGGGAATTGAGTTCTGATCAAAAGCCATGGGTTGAGACTCGAGACTAAAAACTAAGTCGCAGGAAACGTAAATTTTTTATAAGCTGTCGAAAACTGGGTTTTCTAATATCGTTCTTCACCTACATTAAACTCTAACAAGATCCTTCAAAACTCTGATAAACCCTAGAAAGAAATACAAAACCGCGGCCAACATGAAAGTGCACTAACAAACAACTCGCACGCCGAGAGGGAGAGATACAATACAAGACAAAGAAAAAAAAACGGCATATAGAGATAGGAATGGTCCAGTCGGTCAGTGCCGCAAATGAAACCACTTGAGAAATTACAAAGACAATCACCGCCGATTGAGCCCCGATTCAAGGCTTCCGATGAGTCTCCGTTCAGCTCCCTTCCCTGCACTTCCCTCTCCCTCTCTCCCTCCGAGATTCTACTCGCCGGATTCAATGAATTTCTGCAAAATGCAGTAGCTATAAGTATCCAAATTCTCCCAGCCGGATTCGGTTTTCTCGGGAAACTCAGAAGAGTGAGAGAGCGAGAGAGAGAGGAGAAGCAAATATTGTTGTGTGTTTTGGGGTTGAATGTTTATAAGAGGCAAATTCGGCTCTTCGTTGCCACGTAAGCAACGGGGCATGGGGAAGAAGCACGTGGAAGTCTCAAGCAATCTTAAAGTCAAATACACCTCCCCTTATTCTATAAGGATAACTCATAATACCACTTTATTTAATAAATTACAGTATCTAACTAATTTCACTAACTAGATATAAAGTATCTGATTAAAATTATTAATGCCAGCTGAGTGGGTGGAAATCGAGATTCAATTGTCAATAATATCTAGGGTGATCATATGTCACGATCTTCAATCGATAGATTGTGAGTTCTACTTAAAAAAACCAATTTGATTCCTACATAAAAGTTGGTTTGAGAACCCTTTTTTAGTTTTATATATTCTTTAATTGCGTTGGCTTACCTTTTTTTTTTAATACATTTGAATTTTTAGTTAAATTTATAAAGCAAAAACAAATTTTTAAAAACTACTCATTTTAAAATTTCAAATTTAGTTTAGATTTTGAAAATGTTTCTAAAAATATAGAGGCCGGATATTGAAACACATGGGTAAAAGTATATTTTACAAGCTTTGTTTTATAAGATGTAAAACAACAGATATATTGATTATCAAGTGAAATCTTAATTTATTAATAATACACTTGTTTTCGCTATCTCTAGTAGTTTATGATAAGTTGACAGACTTGAGTTAAGAAAAATTTTACTTATATCAATATTGATTGATTATGAAAGTATCAGGTTAAACGAGAGTAATTGCTACTCACTAGCTGGCTTTTAACTTATTTCTTTTACTTCTTAGTTTTTGTTTTTTTAATTTTAATTTTTTGTCTTTGCTATGCATCTAGCCTATTATAAAGAATGACGATCCATGAACGACAAATTGTTAATGGATCTCATTAATTGATTTATAACTAAGTTGTTTCCTTTTAAAGCCTTATAGCTTTGATACTTTTGTTTGTGTTTTTTCTTGGTCGATTTTCCTATTTTTATTGGCATGTTTTTAATCATGTCATGTCTTGATTTTTTGCCGTAAGATTATTATATTTCCTTACAATATATGCAATCCTTACAAAATAATAAGAATAATAATGATAATATAACTTGTCGTGGAATACGTACAATTTATTTATTGATTTTTTTTATGAGTACGACGTGTAGAGTGGGAGACAGAACTCACAACCTCTTGCTTGAAAATATATGTCAATTGTCGTATACTCGCTTTGTTAATTTATTTATTGGTCTAAATTTTGTTTAAGGTGGTTATTTTTATTTTTATTATTTGTTTAGCAAGATATCCATATATTTATCTTACTCGACGAAGATACACAAAAAAATATAGTGTGAATATGAGAGGTATCTACTCTTGTAATGCTATAAAATCCTCTAGATATAAGTTTAATAACATAGAGTTTGATCTCTTGTCGCACACAAACTTCACCAATACGCTGTGTTGGAAGGAAGCATCTGACAAGTGACCCTCCACAACGGTACAATATTTTATTTTTTGAATCATCCAAAATACCTCGTGTCAACGAAAATGTTGTCATTTACTTATATATCATGGATCTTCTCTTTCTCTAACTAAAGTGAGATTTTGATTGTATTTCCAACACGTTGTCACGTGACTAAATATGAGAACCTTCGTTGGTATTTTATTTTCCTTCTATTCATGTTCACGGATGTACAGAATAAATAGGATGACATTTGACTGATGCATAAATATACCTTAGCAAATAAATTGATTGACAAATTGATAGTTGGACATGTCAGCAGTTTCAAAAAGAAAAAGGCAAAAATCGACCTGAGAAATTAGATAGGGGATGTCAAGATGGGATGAAACACACCAATTTTAATAATCCAAAGGTATTTTAAATAGTTATCTAATACGATTTTTTTTTTTTTGGCTCAGCTAGCTTTTACCTTTTTTTTTTTCTTAAATATATAGCTTTTTACTTTTTAAATAATTCTTTGGCTACCCTTAATTACAAAATAATTTCAGCGTCGCTCCAATCTTGTTGGTCCCTAATACTCGACTCGAGTCCTCGATTCGACTTCAACAATCATTTATGTATGATCTATTAGATTTGACTAATTGTTTGTTTCACATTCTATATATTATTGACTAAAATTCCATAGAAGTTGATGAAATGTGAGTTGAAAGCAACGCATACGAAATTAACCTATAATTTATAATTTATTTAACATTTAAATAACTCAAACGCTATTATAAGGTAAACATTATCACACGAGTTCAAGGTTGAGGTAAAAATATCAATATATATACTTTTCAAATGTAAGGTTGAATTTGAAAGTTTGAGGTAAAAGTTTATCCCCAATAATTTATGTGTGTTAGTTTGTAATGTGAAAATGTAAATCCGAAAAATTTATTTAGCAATAATAATATACTTGTAAACAAAAACCATAATGGTATTACCAAATACCAACTAAATATTCCGTTGAATCTAAAATATTATTGAATAATTTTTTGGCATATACGTTACAGAATGGTATAATCATCGTTTCTTCTTTCTGGCTGGGCTGACCGACATCCGACTCTGGTAAATTTCCTGGAAGCTTCCCRCCTCTTTCTTCACAGTTTCTTCTAAGAATTAAACCACCAAATTCAACACAGAGCAATGTTTATTTCATGAAAGATCGATGAAATTGAGGCAAGCAAACGGAATTTAATCTCTTCGCTTGTCTCGTCTTGGCCTTCTCAGAAGCAAAGCTCTAGATCCGCGCAGAAGAGATTTCAGCTTTCAAGGCTTCGCGAGTTTCTCCAATGGCCGGAATGCTTCCTGGAGTAGAGTGTGCTAGAAGAAGACGGTGTCATCAGAACAAAGTATGGTCCGATTCACCAGCGATCGCCGCTCAGGCCCTAACCAGGAGATCCGTTCTCTGCTTGTACACRAGCAACCACGAAACCCTACTCGCTTCAAATCCATCTCTGGTTCGTAAATCGCACCTCGCTCTATCGATGAATTCGAAATTTGTTCACTAGATTCGAACAAAATTGATTCAGTTTTTACTTTAAAATTCTSCAGAAGAGAAGCCTGTTAGCCGCGGTAGACGAAGACGATAAATTGGACGAAATTGCGAGAGAGGCGAAGAGGAGGTTGGACGAGCGATTGAGAACGCAGAGGAAATCAGAGGTCGAAATTGGAAGGTACTAAAACGACGCCGTTTAGAACAACACGCGACGAATTTTGCATTTCCGTAAAATATTGCTTTGTTTCTCATAGTTACAAATAATTAAAGGCCATACCATTTTATTTTTTGTTTTATTTTTTTGAAATTAAATTTGTAAATACTAGTTTTACATTTGATTATCTTCTACTTAATTTAGTTTTCAAAAATTAGTTGTTACTTAATCTAGACGTTTTTAGCAAAGATGAAAATATACCAAAACTGGGATAACTCAATTTAAATCTCTTTTCGAACACGTTGTACTAAAAGAAGAAGTGAAAATATGTCGAAGAAATAGKGAGCAGAACATTATTTAAAAAAACATTAAATTAAAAACACAGTCTAAATATTTCGCGATTGGACGCAGTTGCAGAGGGGGAAAGTTCAAGTGGAGCAAGTTGAATTGGACAAAAAGTATGGTGAGTGCTGGTGAGACGCCTTGATTTCAGTGGGTCTAGTCTCCATTTCTATGTGTTCTACACAGTTGGGGGAAGGGAATGATGGGATTATAATTCTGATTACAACTAACATGAACATTTGTTGTAAAATCTTGTTTTGGATTTTGAAATGCGGATATTCATATGGTTTTGGTTTATGTGAATGATTCTGGTTTAATTCTTGCTGTCAGTTCTTTTTAAACTCTGTGAGTGAAAAGTTGAATTTAAAGTAGCTGAACAAGAGCCATTGGAATTGGTTTCTGTAGATAGATTGAAGAACAGGGAGAAATTTTGAGGATTGAATTGATGTGATGGAATTATAATTAATGCATTAGCGTTTGAGAATGATTCAATCTTACACGTCGAAGCTTTCTCTTGCGTGTACTCAAAAGAAGAAAAATGATAACATTTCATTTGCCTGATTTCCAGTTTATGCTCTAATTGTCGATTAATTGCAATACTCTAGCTTTTTTTACCTCTCTTTCTTAAATTTAAAAAGTAATAATATTTAGATGCTCGTTGATCAATAAAAATACCTACCTATTATATAGGTGAAAAAAAACATATTTAATTAATGTCCTTCAAAGTAACAATTTAGTTTATGAAATTTTAATGACTTAGTCCCTATACTTTTACTAAAGTAATAATTTAGTTACTGAACTTTAGCTTGTAATGGTATAGTCGTAAAATTTTATTAAAATTAAGTGTCAAATTTTATCCTATAACAATTTAATATTTTTAATTTATAAACATGTTTGGTCCGCTCTAGTTTATCAATTTATATATAAGAAACTTAAAAAAAAAAAGTTTCACGATTTGAATTAAATCGTTGCAAACTTTAAATTACAATGATTACATTGTTACATATTAAAGTTCAAAGACTAAATTGTTACCAATTTGAAAGTATATGGACTAAATCGTTACAAACTAAAGTTCAGGGACTATATATTCAATATATATATAAGTAACAATTTAGTCCCTCTACATATATTAGAGGCTAAATTGTTACTTACAGTATTTTTTTTGTAAAATATAAGTTTCAAAGGACAAGTATCATTTGTGATATTTGGCCATTTTCATCGTAAAAATTGGGAAAAAATAAAAAAGCGCCAAAGTAAATATAACTAAGACAAAGAATATTTTTTTAGGAGTACAATGTGTGAGGTAGAAGATATAATTTATTAATTATCACTACGCTACAGTGAACTACATGTTCCTCCTATTAACCGCATATTAAAGTGTATTTGAATAACCCTGCTCTGTTATTGCTTCTATCGGTCACTAGCTTTTATTGTTATCATTTTTAATAAAGACTGATCCATAAAGATAGTTTCTAAAAAACCAAAATTAAAAAACAATGCACTCAAACAATTGATACTAAGTCTATAAATAAAAAATAAAAACTGTTTGAAAAAAGTATATTTTAATAGGTTGCTTATTTTTTTGTTTTAAATTTTTACATACTAATTTTTAAAAGTAGTCCATTTAAATTAAGTTAGACTTAAAACAATAAAAATTTATAAAGTTATTTCATCAAATTATAGTTTTTACTGGTTTTCATTTTGTATTTAAAAATTATTCCATCAAAATAAATATAGATTTATCAAATCTGAGTCAGTAATTAATATATATTTTCAAAATCAAGAGTTGTGCAATCCTCCCCTGTACTAAAATATATATATATAGATCTTATTATTTTTCCATATAAATTTTGTATTTAAAAGTTATCCCATCAAATTAAATTAAATTTTTATCTAAAAAAAATATTTTTTATTTTATAAAAACAAAAACATCTTTTTGACGTAATTTTCAGAAGGGAAGCTGGGGTTATTTTTCTTAGCCGCCGTCGCCCGTCTGGTTCATCCCGCCTCCTGCGAACGAACTCGAGCGCTCTCGTTTTCTTCTCTTTTTCAACTGACTCGAAGCTCTTTCTTGCTCTATTTCACCGAAGATTCAACGGTGGTCAGCTCTAACTTTGACGATTTTGCGATGGTAATCGAAGCAGTTGAGTGTTAATCAGAGTTCATTTCGTGCCATTCCACCGCCGACTGGAAAAGCTGATTACTTTAAACTCTTTCACTCGGTTTGAATTCTCTCTTAGCGTCCGCTGTACTTAATTTGATCAACTGAGCTTTCGCTGCATTTGTTCTCTTAAACCCATCTTTTTTCTCACGTACTGAATGGGAACAGAGTTACCACCACCGCCATATGGAATACCCTACAGCAGTTAATGATAGTCTCTCTCTTAACTTTGAAGTGCCCATGATCATTTTTGAATTCTTTACGGGGATGAGTATCTTATGATTGAAAGGTGATGAATGTGACTTACATCGTAGTCTGCTGCCTGCTGGTTTTGATTGAGTGCTTTTGGTTATTGTTGCTGGATTATTTGGGGGAATGCATCCCTTATGCAACCGTTTGCAGCTCTCGTGAAGGTGCACTATTAATCGAGATTGCATATATTGATCTTTGAAGGCATTTCTGGTATGAAGGGTCTGCTTAGTAAGCTGAGGACTGTGTATTGGGTAAAAGCAGTGGATAGCTGCAACCTTTTGTAGATTGAAGACTTTGCATCATCAAATTGGGATTTCTTTTTCTCCTCCCTCTACAACACAGAAGGAAAAGCCAATAACGATTAATTTCCATGAATTGTTTGTTACATGTTGTAAATTGCCCCACCAAGCTCAATAAATTAAACCTCAGACTAGTCAAATTTGCCTCAACTGCAATTGCTCAACTAAGTCTGTGTTCTTTTTCGCACAGTGATAACGAACAAAGTACCATCTCCTACCCCTCGACTTCCAACGTTCAATGTAACCCGTCAAAGGTGGTTCAAATCTTAGAAAGTCTTCGAAAGGAACCCAGCATTGCTTTTTCCTTCTTTTGCAAATTGGAGGAACGGGGCTTTCAACATAACATCTCTACTTATGTAGCTCTTATTAGGATATTGTGCTTGTGGGGTATGGAGCGGAAGTTAGACTCTCTGTTCTTAGATCTTATTGGCTCCAAGAAAATGGAATTTGATGTTTCAGATTTGCTTGAATCACTTAATCAAGGGCATGTGGTGGATGGCTCATTCATTCGAGCATATGATGCCTTAATCAAAGCTTATGTCAGTGTAGGCTTATTTGATAGTGCCGTGGATTTACTTTTCCGACCAAAAAGGAAGGGATTTGTTCCACATATTTTTACTTGTAATTTTCTCTTGAACCGCCTTGTTGAGCATGGGAAAACGAATGTGGCACTAACTGTGTACGAGCTGTTGAAGAGGCCTGGTTTCCATCCTAACGATTATACTTATGCTATTGTAATAAAAGCACTTTGCAAAATGGGTAATATGAAAGAAGCTATAGATATTTTTCAGGAGATGAGTGCAGCTGGGGTGGTCCCAAATGCCTTTGCTTATTCTGCATATATTGAAGGGTTGTGTACCCACCATTGTTCAGATTGGGGGTACCAGTTGCTACAAAAATGGAGAGAATCAGGTGCACCGATAGATGTGTATGCTTACACTGTTGTAATTCGTGGATTTTGTGAAGAGATGAAAATAGACGATGCAGAAAAAGTATTTTTTTATATGGTAAAATATGTAGTTCCAGATGCACAAACTTATGGTGTGTTGATCAATGGTTATTGCAAGAAGTTGATGTTGCAAAAAGCATTGTCTCTTCACAGTTACATGTTGTCAAAAGGTATAAAAACAAATTGTGTGATAGTAAGCTCTATCCTTCAATGCTTATCTAGGATGCAAATGTATTCAGAAGTTGTGAACCAATTTAAAGCATTTCAGGGTAAGGGGGTGTTTTTTGACAAGGTTGCATACAATATTGTTGTTGATGCCTTATGTGAACAAGGAAGATTGGGAGAAGCTATGGAGTTGTTAGAAGATATGACGAGTAGACAGATCCAGATGGATGTCGTGCATTATACAACAATGATAAAAGGTTTTTTTGTTCAAGGAAAAATTCATGAAGCAAGGGAAATGTTTGAAAAATTGAAGAAAAACGGTATTGAGCCTGACACAATCACTTATAATGTGCTTGCTGCTGGATTATCCAGAAATGGTCTTGTATCTGAGGTGCAAGACCTTCTACACTATATGAAGGAACATGGCTTGAGAGAAGACCCCAGGATGCGCAACTTGATAATTGAAAATTTATGTATGGGAGGCAAAGTGAAAGAAGCGACAGCAATTTTCAATAATTTAGAAGTAAAGACTCCAGATAACTATTCAGCTATGATTAATGGGTATTGTGCAGCCAATCATAAAAAAGATGCATACGAACTCTTTGTTGATTTGTCCAAGAAAGGATGTTTTATTAAAAATGGTTCTCTCATTAGGCTAGTAAGTAGCCTTTGCATGGAAGATGCTAACGATAGAGCTATTAAGGTGATCAAAAGACTGTCAACAATGAATTTGGAGGCTAATGAAATTGTGTATAATAAAGTCATAGCTTCTCTCTGTCGTGTTGGAAATATGAAGATGGCACAACGTTTATTTGATTGTTTAGTCTGTACTGGGTTAACTCCTGATCTCATCACTTACACAATGATGATAAATGGTTATTGCAAGATTGATTTTTGGAGGGAAGCTTATAGACTTCTGTGTGATATGAAGGATCGAGGGAGGAAACCTGATATTGTTATCTATACAGTTTTGCTTGATGGTCAATTTAAAACCACACTGCGAGGGCTTTGCTCCTCAATGGATTCAAGGGGACTAAAGCAAGAAATAGCTTTTAATTCCACAATTTTTTATGAAATGAAGGATATGAAGATCACTCTAGATGTTATTTGGTACACTGTATTAATCGATGCGTATTGTAAAATGAACAAACTTAATGATGCTGTTATCCTCTTTGAGGAAATGGTTGATCAAGGAATAGAACCTGATACGGTGACATATACCTCCCTAATATCCGGCTGTTATAAAAATGGGGATGTAAAGAAGGCTGCAAGTCTATTTGATGATATGTTGTCTAAGGGAATTCTCCCTGATGCACATTTTTCATCTGTTGCAAATCGATATTCTACAAACCAAAGAAAATGCAACTTTGAAACTGAGCACTTGGCCGGATAACGGTGACTAGCATCAGTCTTTGAATTTTCCCAATGAAGTATAATGGTTATTCCTTGTACGTCATGTGTTATCTTTTTTCTTTTCTTTCCATCGGTTTGCTGCCTTATCTTTTCCCCCTATTTTGAGTTATAAAGTGTACACATTTCAGGTCCTGGAGTCTCCACAACAGAGTTATATGAAGGCCCTCTACTTTCACCTAAGATGAAGTAGTCAATTATGTGAGTTGCTGGATTTATGGGATTAGATACTCTAATCTACAATATCAAGGTTTGTCTTTGTTAATTTTATTAGACTAATGACTCATAATTTCTTTAAAATTACCTTCTTATTAAACTCAAATATAATTGGGCAATTTCAGCAGCTTATTTGAAGCAGTGTATTTATAAGCACTTATTTGAAGTAGTTACACTGTTAATGATGTTGATAGTGGGGATTCTGTCCGTATTTTTATGGTTATGTAAGGTATCTACCTCACATTCCTCCGTGACCAGCATTGCCACAGCCTTCCCCCGTTCTTCAATTTGGCTAGTGAGTTTCTCCAGGCTTTCTTTGATGTTTCCAAGTTCCCTTTCATTGTTGTCACAACGTTCTTCGAGCTTCTTTTGTATCATCTTCGTTATCTTCCCCGGGATGGACTGGTCTGATATCAGTTTGTAAGGTATCTACCTCACAATTTTGATAGTCAAAAGCAAAAACAAGTTACCCTTAGGCATACAAGGGTGCCCAACCGTTAGAGAGGGTTGGGAGCTCTCCTACCAATGCTAAACCTTAGCAAAAGACATAACATGCCTTTCTGGCTAAGCCCAAAAGTATAAGTACTATCGATACAAAAGCCCTTGCCTAGTACTAAGCTAAGGAGAACTTACCCTTTACCCTTCATTCCATATGTATTTACCACAGGGGGTCTCACATAATATTGTTACCGTAATTGAGCATCTCTTAGATCTCTTAAACAAAGTAATAAGATGTAAAATTATTGTTTTGCTTTTCAGTTTCTTTCTGTGAATGAAAGTCGCCTCTGTTACTCCACAATTATACTCAGATATGGTGCAGATGCTACTCAAAACTCCACAATTAATAACATCTTTATTAATGATGACCTCTTTAAAGAAGCTTGTATGGACTAGCCTTCGGATTATTTTAATGTTGTTGATACTAGCTAACATAAGAGAGTTTTGCGTTTGGATGTACTTCAAGCTCTCATTGTGCATGGATTTTTGGGTCAAAATTTGGATATACCCAGTTCATTATAGGTTCTAATTCTTGCTTAATTGTGTCTATGGTCTAACTTTGCAAAAAAGTTTTTAAAAACCTTTCTTCATGGGCAATTTAAGCTCCAAGGTCTCAGTTAATTTGAGATTGCAGGGTCAAGATACAGGTATCTTATTCTCTAAGCATCTTCGAAACTGCTGGAAGATGCAGCGTTTTTGCTTGTAAACCCACTGATCTGCCTATTTAACCAAAATCAAATTGAGTTACTTGGAAGGAGATGTCTTGGATGCCTTGGAAGATGTTTTGTCTTATTGTTGTAGGCTTGTGGGTTGCTTATTATATCTATCTCATGGCCGGAAATTACTCTTACAGTTTACAGATCGAGCCAGTTTGTTTCCAGTCAATTTTTTATTTTTATTTTTAGATAAGAAACTTCTTTGTATTGATAAAAAAGAGGAACAAACTAGAGGCTGGGGTAGAGGAAACCCATAAAAAAAACTAAACAACCACTTTCCAATTGTGCATAAACATGGAAATGTTGTAATTACAAAAGAATTTGCTGTAATTACACCACCAAGAGGTCGTGTGCTGAACATTCCTACAAAAAAAACAACAAGTAGTTGACTTATCTTCGAACATGAGAGAATTTCTTTCTCCAGCCAAAGGAGAGCTCTTGAGGCACTCCTCCAAATAAGATTAGTCTTCTTAGGGAGAGTCCACCCATGTAGAACTTCAACCATCCAATCAATGTTAACCATATCTTGATGCGGATCACTTTCTTCTGGAACATGTGGATATAATATGGTTGAAAAGTCGTGTAGCTATCATTCATCGAAAAACCATGTAGCTATTTTATCTCCCCGCTAAATAAAAGATCATTTGTCTGCCGTTTAGTTGTAATTATTACTAAATTTATATGTTGAGAATCAAGATGGAATGATGGGATGTGTTTTAGAACATCAGATTCATATCTACACATCTTCAAGCTATATAATAATAATCTGAAATTTTCTTCCAGGAATTCCTCATGTTTATACAACATTTCCGAACTGTTGTATACTGTGTTCAGGAGATGGTGGATTTGTTCCCAGGAGTACCCTAAAAATTGGAATCAAGGAGCTGAAGTGGTGAGTAAAGCTGCACTTCATTTGTCTCCGATGCACTTGGGAAATGGGGGAAGATGTGAAATATGAATTTGGGCTGTCTAAGAATATATGTTACTTATTACAGCTGATGTTTGTTAGCTTTTTCTTTTTTTTTTTTTTTTAAAAAAAGAACTTAGAAAGGCACTAATTATCCTTTGCTGGAAAGGGAAAAATTAGCTATAACTTTTTTGTCGATTGTCTTACATATCTTAGTAATACTTCATGTTAGGAAAAGACCAGATGCACGGCAAAAGCCAGACTTGGTGTTCCTACTTCAATACTGTATGCTGTGGATTGAGTACAACGCCCCTTAAAATTTGGGTATGTGGAGGGTCGTTCAGTGAAACATATACTCCTCAAAATTGAGTGATATGCAATGGGTGCAAAACAGGCCAATAATATTTCATGCAGACTCTTGTTGCAATCAAAAACTGCATGATGGTGGCCTTTTTAATGGCAACTTGACCATTATCAAACAAGTTGATCAGGTACCAATCGATCTGTGAGTAGTTTTCTTTAGCTTTTAGTTTAGATAGAGAGTTATTTGATTCATCTTTGCTAGATCGGTAATTTCGATTTCTGTTATAAGAACATTTATCTTTTCTCAGGTCCTTGTTGATTTTAGTCTAAGCTTCACTCAACCTCCTCTGGAAGATATATACGTGTTTGAGCAAGCCCTGCGTTCAAATGCATTCATCATGTGGGGTTTTGGAGATTTTTTTTTCCTTCAACCTGGTTTGGTCTCAATATCTTCATCACAAATAATGATTAATAGTTACTAACGAATAGAATTGAAATGAACATATGGATTCCAAATAGATTCTTTGATGAATATATATGTTGTATAGATGAAGCTAATACTTGCTACATATCAGAAGAAGACTTCAAAGCTGTGGTGTAGCAGGAGGAGGTAACATGTTGGTGCACTTCTCTTCGATTTGCTCTGTACCTCGTAGAGGAAATAAGTACGGTATACTTTATTTATCCGCTTATTAGAACTCCTTTTAATGACCTATGCATTCTGTTATCATTTCCAGTTGGACGACATTAATCCAATTTGAAAAAGAAATGAATTCTTTCCATTTTTTATGGGCTCCGAGCAGATGAAGCCTTCCTTGTGCACCGTGGTTGGTTTCAGGAAACCGAGACTGTTCCTTTTTCATTGTCATTTCAGCTTTTCTTTTAGATGAGATAATCACTACTTCATTTCCCGCTAGAGATTTTAGCTGTTGGATGTTTTGAACTCTTTCAATAGTGCTTGTTAAACAGTTAAATAAAAGGATTTGTTATTGAACTAATTTGGGTGAGTTTTGGAACACCTTTTGAAAGATTGAATAATTTTGAAGCGAAAAACCTTTGTGGTGAGTACTTTTTGATAGAGAACACTAAAAATCAATGCTTTATCTAAAAGCGCCTTTTCTTTTTAATCTATTTTTAAAATTACTTTTTTGATTATCGCAAATTTTTAAAAATATTCACCTTTTATTACTCTTAGATTTTAACCCCAAAGGCACTTGTACCCGTCTCAAGGATCTTCTATATCTCAATCACACTTTTTTTTTTTTTAAAATGAGATTCACTTAAAATGATTTAATAAAATGAATCAAATATCTACCGTTAGAAAGGCAGACAATGAAATAAAAATTGGTTTCAATTTTTTAAAATTTTGGATGTAATGAAGCTTGCATGATATGCCATATTCTTAAAAGAAAGTGTGACCATATGAAAGAGAAAAATCAACATACATTTGGAATTTTCTTTTCTCTTACTAGTGATATAATAAAGAATTTACTAAAAGAGAATGTTCAATTATGTTAAAAAGAATCCAAATTTCCAGAGAAAATCCTCTTTTCTCACAAACAATAAAGAATAACCAACGACCATGAAGAAAGTCTAAACATGAGCCAAAAAACAGACGGGCGAATTTACCTTTTTAGCCTCCCAACGGCTACTTCCTTGTGACCGTTTCCAGAATCCCACAATTCAAATTCTGAAACAGCAACTACTATGCTTCATTCGACACTCGACAGAGACATCCGATTCCCTCAAAATCTCTTACAAAGACACCCATCAACAACGCAAGCGGAAAACAACAACTTTTTTCTCTTCTCCTCCACTGTCTGATTCAAAAAAAATCGAAGAATCCAAGAAATTCAGACCAAAAAATGGTTTATTCTTACACACCCACTTACTATTCTACTCTCCATGATTCTATCACCTCCCTCTGCAAATCCATCCTTCCCTTCAGCTTCAAGAAACGGTGCCTGCCGGCGGCCGACCAGAAGCTGGCCAAGCTCCAGTCCGACAACCTCAAATGGCAGCAAGATTCCTTCCACCAGATGCTCAAATTGATGGGTCTTCATAAAGAAGGAATTTTAGCTGAACACGAAGTTTCGGATTTCAGAACCCATCTGCTTGATTCTCTCATCGCTTCTCCGGCGGAACAGGAACAGCAAGTTATATTGAGAGATAAGCTCTTATTCTTGCAGGTTCGTAGTTCATAAAGCTCTGTTTTTTGTATGTGCTCTGTTTTTGTTGAAGGGCTCTGTTTTAGAAACCAAATGGGTTTATTTTCTGTATTTTTGTTGTTATCAGGAACTTCTGTATGCGAAATGCATAACGGCAGATGAGTATCACTCTTCAAAGAGGCCACTTCTTCAGAGGTTGGCAGTTCAAGGAGCCGAAATCGAAGCGAGAGATGTGATTGTGGCGGACCCGAAAGAGAATTCGAAAGAGAATTCGGAAGAAGAATGGTCAGTTATTGACTTGAGAGACGAAAAGACTTCACTGAAATCGAACTCTAATTCGAAAAACAAATCAAAGCATGTGTTGGGTATGAAGCAGATAAGAGGAGCTGCATCCGTTTTTAGTTTTGGGTCATCTCAGAAATCTGAAAGGAACAGAAAAGAGAAAAGTATTTTCGATCCCGAGAATCAATTGTTCAATAGCAGCGAAACACATTCGATTCTGATGCCGGAAAGTTCGAACAAAGAGAGGAGTGAGGAAAAGGCAAAACGACGGCCCTTTAAGACTCTGTTTCAGGGGGGGAATGGGAATTATGGCCCTGATTATGAAGAAAGGATGAACAAATCTGGAAAGAAGCAATGGGGTTTTAATGGGATGAAGAAATGGAAGAGAGACGAAACAGAGGATGAGACAGCTCCATTGCCACTCCATGAAAGATCTGATAGTGAAGCTTATTGGGGTTCTTCAAATTCGGCTCAGATTGCAGCGAGTCCAATTGGGGAGGGGCCTAATACTAAACTTATAAAAAGAAAGTTGCATTCTAATGGTTCTCCATCGGATTTCTTCATTGATAAGGTAATTGGTTGCTCTGTAATGGCGTTGGTCTGTAAAATTTGAAGTTTTTGTTTTCTTTTATCGTCTTCTAATTGTGTTAGCGATCAGAAGGTTTTAGGCGAGAAGATAAAGAAAGAGCTTTCACGGATTCAAACAGAACTCAACACCACAAATCCCAACCTTAAATTCTCGTAAGATTTTCAAAGTTTGTTTTTGCTGTCACTTCCTTCTGTTTCTTTTCTTATTTCCTTTCAAATTGTTTCAAATTTCAGGGATGATCAAATTGAGGCTATTTCCACTAGGCTTCCTGTTGACAAAGCTGACCTGAAGAACTTCTTTCCAAAGTAAAGATCCGATCCTGGTTCTGTAGTTTGAGTTCTTTTTTAGTCTATAATTGATTAACTGTTTAATCTTTTTCCCTCCTCTGGGAAGGTCATGGTGCGATCGATATGGAGACGTAGTAATTGACGTGGTGAAGAAAGAGTTCAAAGAACATGTGGGAGAGATGGAGAATAAGAGAAATGCAGCAAGTGAGAAACGACGTAACAGCAGCAACTCAATGCGGTGGACCACGTTTGAGGATGATGAGAACTGCCAGCCGAATCTCTTCTTCAACAACCACCACAAGGGCTTTCAAAACAACCCTTTCTTCGACGTTGAATCAAAGAACAGTACTCATCAAATCGGATCCGATTCCGCTTATGAGAATCCATTTTGGAGACCGAGACCAAGCACTGGTCTTTCAATGCTCAAGTAGTAGTCGTTATATAATCAGAGACAGCTGAAATTACCGTCTTCCCTGTCTTTTTTATTTGTTGTCAATATAGTTTAATTCATTTGGCGTCGTCGTCGCACCGATGTTGTACAAGTGTTTGAACCATTCAAACTAAACTGCGTTTTCCAGTTATCTGTTTGAATTTTGAAGCTCAGGGTAAAAACTTATATGCAAATATTTCATCTGAAACCGCTGTACAATATGAATGACTTACAAAACAACTAAATCATGGGGGGATTCAATTAATCAACCCCCAGTATTAACAGGAACATGACTATGAAAGTGCCATATTTGCCATATTCTCACTGGTTATCATACAATTCTGTCAAATTGTTGGAATTTCTGGGTTTGAAACCGAACACTCGTCGTTTGAGCCTGCACGAACATCACCTCTACAAAGTGGGCATACTCTGTTAAACACAGCGAGACAGGGAGAGATGAGTTGATGAATGAAAAGATTGCAGGACACGATGTAGGTAAAAGAACGAATGGTAATCGAAGTATAGATGACATACCCATGAATCTCCTTCAACCATTTATCAACACATGACATATGATATTCATGGCGACAAGGAAGAACTCTTATTTTGTCACCGTCTTCGTATTCAGCCAGGCAAATGTAGCATCTAATCAAATATTTTAAAGCATTTCCAAATTAGAGGCTAAAAAGCACAACTACAAACAAGTAAATGTTCGAATTTAAAATATTCCGGTTCCACGAGTCTCGTACCTTCTCTTAAAGCAAGCATCGCATTAGTCAATACAATAAGAGAGAGGTGATTGCTAACTAAAACATCGCATTGGAATGTTTGTAAACACACTTGATAAGAGGCTTGTATCACATGCCATATTAATGCTCAGTAACAATACTATTATTTGATTGAAAGAAGAAACATACTGCTCAATATCATCCCCTCCATTTGTCGTTTTTTCGTGGTTCTTCAGAGGAAAAGAGTCAACAACTGACTCTGGTGCTGGGAGTGAAACCATGGATAGGGCAAGAGAAACAGGCTGACCATGAATTTCATCCAAGACCTTCAGATACAGAAAGAAAGCAAGATGTGAGATAACTGTTGAAATGCAGCACAAGAACTCCAAAAAGTAGGCAATACTTGAGTGCAAAAGCGTTTATCTGAAACACCCAATTCACTAAATTAATTGATAGCATAGAATTCCAGTTGAAGTAAATGAACAGCCAATATACATTCTTTGCCTACACCAACATATTGGTGATGTATGGTTTGCATAACATAATATCATCCAAAAGTTCAATGAATGGAGCAGGGGAAAACTACCTCAAATAATGCTTCAGCAAGCATGATTATTCGTGATATGCTTGCACGGGTACTCGAGTGTTCGATCCTTGAAAATGAGTCACACGTGCAAGCACCGTCAGGGTGAATGCCTGATGGGCAAGATGAATTTTGCTGACTGTTTTCACTGAGACTACTACGAAGTCTTTCCCATATCTGCACACAACGCAATGGAAGGTTGAAAATAGAATCAATTATTGCTTAAAGTGACAACACTAGAACATTTCAGTTTGGTAGAGGGCTAAATGACGCTGATCTCAGTTATATGTTGCTTCTAACAGAGGATCACGGTATGTGTACTCTGCATTTTCAAGAATGAGATATTGTAGATTAAAAAAAAAAAAACATAACTGTTAACATTCAGAATGCAACCTGAGATCTTGAGTTTCTTTGTTGCTCATTCAAGATGTGAATTCTGCTGGCAAAATGTCTTGAATCGGCACCCACTTCATCATCCATAAAATCACCACTTATATTGAGGAGCCATCGGTCTGTATCTCCTGTATTACTAATGTTATTAGATGGGAAAAGAAACGGAGATTCACTATGCCTTCTAAAACTACGTCGTGAGAAGGCATCCCAAAACAGTCTTCTGCTATTTCTTCTGGCCTCAATATAACTTGCATCAGTGCTAGTCGTAGATAAAACATTGGAAGAAATATCGACCATATCAACAAGAGGCATACCCACATCTTCTTGGCCTTGTTCCCTACCATCAGACACGAGAGATTCTAAACTTGAGTGTACCTCTTGAGAAGATTCATCTCCAAGAGACTGAGAAGTTACTGGAAGATCAGAACCACAAGGACAAGCTTCAGAGTCCGGGTTGCAGTAAGCTGTCGCCTCGTCCTCTTGAATATAACCTGTCAACTCACTGGAACGCAAGTCTCCGACCTCTTGAGTAGTCGAACTGCTTGCTGTAAGCATGACCTTTGTGCAGACTGGAGATGCACTCTTGTCCACTGAACTATCAATGCCATTTACTGCATCTTCGTTAGCCAAAATATTTACAGAGACTGGTTCCGAAGATTGACGTCCTTTAAATGAAGTACCATTGGTAGTATTACTATTTCTATGAGATTCATCATGACTGTAATCAGCACTAACCTGTTGGAAAGGAGCTGATTCCTTATTCTGAGACAAACACTTCCCATGACTATTGACATCATTATTTCTTGGATCATGAAAAGCACATTGCTCCTCACCGACTGCAATGCCATTCTCATATGCATTCTGAGAATTGGTGCTTACACTAGGAAGTCCCGTTCTCGTACTGGAGATCGAGTAAGATCGACTTGTGAGGCTTTGAACATCATCAATATTGTGACTACAATGTTCTGTCGAATGGACGGGAAATTGAGCTGTAGAATCTTCCATCTATTAAAAAGAGGTGTCAGCCTAAGACTTAAATCGGTCCTCTAAGCTTGTTAAAAGTAACCTCCAAGCAGAGTGCGAGTAAAAGACAGATTTAGATGGTTAGAAACTAACTATAATTGTCTAGACCTGGGACTTGAATGATACAATAATTTTTCATTGCAGTTCCATTAAGTAAAAACATCACTATGAAGGTAAACCGCATTTGTGATTCATTTAAAATTTGGGTCTTAAAGTATACAGTAATATAAGCATAGCCATAGCCATAAATAGTTGTATAGTATACATGAGTGTTAAATATCACCTATATCTGAAGCTTAAATTATTAGATTAAGAAAACTTTAATAATATTTAATATATTCTCAAATAGCATCAGCTTAATACATGGACTATTAATATGAAATGAAACGGAATAACATAGCAAATATTTGAACTCATAAAAACTCCTACTCCTTTTTTTTTTTCCTGCAAGGAGAAACTGCTACTCTAATACCATGTTGAATCACTACTCTAATACATTTGATTTCTTCAGTATATTCTCAACACTAAGCAACGAGGTTAAAACAGGGTGACTATCATAATACGGCTATTTGAATTGCCAAAACCTGACATACAAAAAGTTTAAAAATAACCAGAAATTGCAACAAAATCCAACACTTGAATCATCATTTGTTCATAGCATCTCGAATTTTCTTATTCATTTACAAAAGGATTGGAAACAGAAAACAGAGAACCACTCTGATTGAAGCTGACAGAAACCCAAAAATGAGACGTTTAAGGAGCAGTATAACATTCAAGAGATTTCAACTTGAGGTCAACTAGCAATCCCAAGCTGTAAAAACTTTCGATCTTCCCCCCAAACCACTAACCAATCGGATAGTGATCATTACCCAGCAACAATCAACAAAAAAAATACCAAACCACTCACAAGCAAACCAAACAGCATACGAATCGAAAACACATAGAATAAAATGTACAGCAGTTTTGGACCTAATTTCTGCGACCTTCTTCACTTCTTGGTAGATCAAAACTCATCCAAAATCCCCCAAAACACAACCCCAGAAGTTCAAGCAACTAAAAAGCACACACCAGACGGATACAAAGAGATGCTATCCGGGCTCAATCTTTGACATGAGGATATCAAGCCCAGATTACCAAAACAAGATTCCGGGGGCAAAATTAGATTCAAATCGATCACGAAGCGCAAGAAATGGGAGAAAGGGAGCTGGTGGGCAAATAAGAGAGAACACAAGATTCGGCGATGGCGATGAAGAATAAGATTACGGGAAGGGGAAAATACCCGATGAATCGCGCGAGAAGTGGAAGCACCGCAGAAGAGAGAACAGAAGTTGGAGCGGTTGGTGCGGTTATCTCGGGAGCGAGAAGGGCGCGACCCCAGACGACTACAGCTCAAACCCATTTGGGCTATGGAGGAGAAGGGATGGTCCGTATGGAAGACGATGATAGAAAAAATTGAATTTGAACAACACCCACATCCAATTTCACAGCTCTGATTTCAAATTCAATTAGAAGGGTTCTCTTTCTCAATTGAAAAATCAATAATTTGATACAAACAAAGAAAGTTCGTGCTGTTGTAATGTTGGGGCTACACTGCATATGTATATTATCATATCATTATTGTTTTGAAGCTTTATTATATTATTATCAATAGCTTTTTTTATTTATTTGTAAAAATGTTCAGAGGTGTCACCATAGCTCTGGAAAATGAGCTTTTGGAGGAAATGCTGTGGTTGTGGTTGTGATTGTGAAGAACTTTGCCTAATGAAATTTAGCCATAAGTTCGTGATATATATATATATTTTTCTCTTCTCTTCTCTAGATATAATATAAAAATATTAAATAAAAACGTCATCTTAAATAAAATAAAATAAATCAATGTGATGAAATCATGAGAAGGAAAAAAAAGGTCGTTTTTTAGTCAACTGACATTTTTTAACCAGTTTAACCTCGTATTTATTCAGTCGACTAACATTTAAAAGTCAACTGATGTGAGTGAACTTATTTTTTTTTTCCTTTTTTACTTAATTTTTGTGAAGTTACTATATTAAGATCGTATTTATACCTTTCATCTCACACATTGAAATTAAATTATTTTACTTAATAAATCGAATACTTTTAGTTTATATTTGTTTTTTTTAATAAGAATTCGAACTCACGTTTTTTGGGTTGGAAATGGATGTCTTAACTCATTAAATTATGATTAGGTTGGCAAATTTTAAAAAATGTATGATTTTTTTAAATAGGGTTTCAAACACAGGATCTCCCACTCTAATACTGAATAAACCACCACACAATCCAAAAACTCAAGCTATAGTTGAGTAAATTTAATTCATTTATGAATATCTCAATCAATAGTAAACATCGGTGGGAATTAATAGAATTTAGAGTTAAAATTTTTCTGGGTTTAATTTCAAATGGAAAAGATCTCATGCTCTCTCACTCTAGGTTAAATTTCAAAATATTCATTAGGGAAAAGATCTTGTGAATCCTGGTGGTTTCAATTTCAAGAAAAAAAGAAAAAGGATTGAAGAAGAAGCATGAAAAAAACCAACCAACTCTCAGCTCAATCCAATCCGAGTCTAAATCGAACGACTTCAGTTAAATTACACCCTTAATTTTTTTTTATAACAGACCAATAAAAAACTTAAAAAACCAATAAAAATAATAGAACATGAAATATTCATTTTTTATTTTGGAAAAAATACACTTTTGATCAATGAGATTTGAAGTGAGTGTTAATATAGTTTATGAAGTTTCAAAATGAAACACTTCAGAGTCCTTGAAGATTAAGTAAGTATCTATTTGATCTCTAGACGTACAATAGACATTTTTGATCCTTAGAGTTTGAAAAATTATTCTAAATGGTCTTTTAATAACCTTTGAGTGTTAGTTGACTTAACGAAAAAATGACGTGGCAAATTAATTGGTGACGAGGCCTTTCTAACTCGCTGCATTTCGATGAGATGTAAAAATAATATTCGAGGTGACATTTTTTTTATTCTCTTTTCTTCTTCCTTGTTCTCTTGACTTCTTGCCATCGCTGTTGTTGATCATCGGAGAGTTGCCAGAGAGTCTCCCGACACCCATCATCTGTCATCGACTCTACCGAAGAGAGAGAGCTCTCTCCCTCTCTCTCAAGCAATGGCGAGCTCTCTCTGGCACCCATCACCGGCAATTGCCATCGCCCACCACCCAAATCTAGAACGAGGGAGAGAGGGAAGCTCTCCGACGATGGGAAAGGAGCTCCCCAGTGAGACTTTCCAGCGAGCAACAACGAACAACAACAATGATTATGGTAGATGGCAGTAGTCAACGACTGGTGGCAAGAAGGTGAGAAGATAGATAAGAAAGAATAGGAAATAAAGAAAAAAGGAAGAAGAAAGAAAATGCGATAACATATTATATAAAAATTAATTTTTTTACATCTCATCTAAGAATATAAGTTAGAATAATCCAGTTACCTATTAACCAAGTTACTGACGATCAAAGGATAGAATAATTTTTCAAACTTTAGGAATAAAAATATATTTTACGACTTTCTGGACTAAATAGCCACCTACTTCAGTGTATTTTTTCATTTTATTTATTTATGACTTTCAATAATAAAAAAAGAAAAAGAGNTTTTAGAATTGTGATGTAATATTTTAAAAATGGAATGATTTTAATCTTCATTCTTTTGGGCAGATGGTTTACCATAAGTATCAAGATTTCATAAAAAGAGAGAAAAAAAAAAAAGACGGCCAAGGGCGAGTTGCTAACTCGGTAAGCCATCGGCGATGACTAGAGGATCCGATCCGAAACCGAAATGTTTGATTTTTCTTCGATCGGAACCCTAGGTCCCATCTAAATCTTATAACCGAAGCAATCAATTCGGTCAAAATCTTCTTTCCCCCAAATGCCATAATTTATCACCTCCTTCTCTTTCCCGGAAATTTCAGTGTCTGATGTATGGCTCTATTTCTTTTCTTCTAGGATCTTATATTACGCCGATCTTCTGAATCAGACACTGTAATCTTCTGCGCCTGCTGGGATTATTTGCAAACGGGAGAGGGGGAAGGTTCAAATTTTGAGGGTTTCTTATCATTTTTTTTTTTGTACAGATTGCATAGGTCTTGCAACAGTTGTACAACGGTCTTTATTGATTTGTGTTCGTCTTGTTCATACACAAACCACAATCTCGAATTTGCTCCAGGGTTTTCATTACTTGTTCTTTGATGTTATTGGTTACGATGCAATCCAAACTCTCGGTTGCTCCAGCAATTGATTTGATCCCAAACCTTAAACCTCCTCACAGAACTTTGCGTTTTCACCAAATCTTAGTTTTAATCATCACCTTCTTTGCATATGCGTCCTTCCACGCCTCGAGGAAACCTCCGAGCATCGTTAAGAGCGTGCTTGGACCAACAATACAGCTAAATTCGTCAAGCATTTTGTTGAATTCGACTTCAATTGAGTCTGGTTTGTCCTCAAATGGAACTGGGTGGGTTCCTTTTAACGGCCCTGATGGCACCCAGTTGCTCGGGGAGCTTGATCTTGCATTTCTTTCTGCGTATTCCCTTGGAATGTATTTTGCAGGACATGTTGGTGACCGGATCGACTTGAGGTTATTTCTTGTTTTTGGGATGATGGGTAGTGGTATTTTTACGATACTATTCGGGCTAGGATACTGGCTAAATCTTCATGTATTGTGGTTTTTCGTTAGTGTTCAGATTGTTTGTGGTCTATTTCAGTCAATTGGATGGCCATGTGTGGTGGCAATTGTAGGAAATTGGTTTGGGAAAGCAAAGAGGGGACTGATAATGGGGATTTGGAATTCACATACTTCGGTTGGTAACATCATCGGGTCGATTGTGGCTTCTGGGATTTTGGAATTTGGATGGGGTTGGTCCTTTGTGGTGCCTGGAGCTTTGGTGATTTTCGTCGGCATTTTGGTGTATCTGTTCCTAGTTGTAAGTCCAGAAGACATTGGATTTGAAACCTCTGTTAACGAGACTGAATTGAACACAGAGGTGAATCCAGTTGAAAAATTGGTGAATCCAGTTGAAAAATTGGAGAACTCGGTGGAAAAATTGGAGAATGCAGATTCAGAGGAAGCAGTGCTGCTTGATGTTCATGTTGAGGATTCAGATTCTCTTGTTGTTAATGTTGAGGATTCAGATTCTATGGCAGCGATTGGTTTCTTGGAGGCATGGAGGTTACCGGGTGTTGCACCATTTTCCTTTTGTCTATTCTTCTCGAAGCTGGTTGCTTACACTTTTCTCTACTGGTTGCCCTTTTACATCAGGCACACAGGTACCCGTTTTTCTTTTACTGCCAACTGCCAAGGAATGAAAATGTCATTTGAAGTGAAAATTTTAGAATGAATGTGTCTTAGATAAATCTTAAAAGGCTGCCTTTTCGGCAATAGCAAATAGCATGATATTAGTTGTATGCCCAGAAAAAAGCTAGCAATTGTCTATAAAATTGTAGTGCCTGCACTCTCAAATAGATTCAGGATGTTCTGGAATCCATGCAGTAAAGAATGCAACATTTGTTATCCTGAACGTGTTTTTTAAATCTAGTTTTGAATTCTTAATTACTTACTAGTCTTTACCTGCCGTGATAGCTGTTGCTGGTGTGCACTTATCTCATAAAATGGCTGGCATCCTCTCAACGGTTTTCGATGTCGGAGGTGTCTGTGGTGGAATATTAGCCGGATTAATCTCCGATTTGATTGATGCTCGTGCAGTTACTTCAGTAACATTCCTGCTACTCTCAATCCCTGCTCTAGTTCTCTATCGTGCTTTTGGGAGCATTTCCACAGTCGCCAACATCTGTTTGATGTTTCTTTCGGGATTACTCGTCAATGGCCCATACTCGCTTATTACAACAGCCGTTGCAGCTGATCTCGGCACCCAGAGTTTGATTGGAGGAAATTCCCGAGCTCTAGCAACGGTGACCGCGATCATAGATGGCACTGGGTCTGTTGGGGCAGCTCTTGGCCCTCTAATGGCAGGATATGTTTCCAGTAGAGGATGGAACAGTGTCTTTTTCATGCTGATTCTTTCCATCTTCTTTGCCGCTCTCTTCTTGGTTCGTTTAGCGAAAACCGAGATCAAAGGAAAGTTGAACGAAGGACGATGGTTTTCCAATAGCGAGACCCAGCTACAGTGAATTAAGATCATCTAAAAGGAGATTTTGATATTCTGTTTACAGTTTAGATCAGTGGATTTATCATTTCTGATAGAAAGTACATTGACATTTTTTCCTTTTTTTTTTCGGGGTATTTGTATATCTTTGTATCCTATTCATTTATACTCCTTAGAAATATTCATGTACCATACACCACAGTAATTGAGCGTAGAATACAAACAATATTCAGAAAAGCAAAATTTCTTCTATTCAATTAATCTTTTTGAGTTCAGATTAGGATAATTTGTTTTAAAGTTATTTGCCTGCAGTGCAGTTCTTCCCGAGGCTCACTTGCTGCTGAACTTTTAACTTGTATCTTTCTTCTTCAAATCAGGTTTTGGGTTGGAGACCCACCCGCTTTTGCTCATCGCATCCGATGAATCAGGGCTACACGTTTTTGTACCTCAAAGATCGTCGGCCGGTGTTTGGTTTTAAGAATCACACAGAATCATTTCTCGAATCTTGACAATGTAGACTGTTTGATTTGATAGGGTGTGAATCATGTTCTTTTTTTAATAGCACTGGTATATCTTTATCTAATCTACTACTATAACCATTTCAAATAGTGATTTAATCCATTAACAATAAGGAAAAAAAAAATATATATATATATATATATTGAAAGAGACTTCATTAAAAGAATCATAAAGGCTCCACCACCTCTCAAAACTATCGAAGAATAAGAAACTACAGATTCCATCACTGGGCGATGATCAACATCATTTGCTTCTCTATTAACATGCATAAACACAATGGATGAGAGAAATCTTGCTACATGACAAATATCAATAATCAAGGTATGAGCTTCATTTCATACATCAATTTCGCAGCTATTTGTATAGATATGGTATCCATTCAATCTTTGTTTGTCTATTAATTCACAGTTCTTCTCGGGTAGAGCAGCTTGTAGCTCGCAAGGCTCATAACCTTGACCCCATGGGTTCAAATCCTGTCTCTGCAAATTTTTTTTTTTGTCTAAAAAATTTAGGTTTGATCTTGGTGCCTTAACCAAGCTATGTTCGATTTGGCTATAAATTTATTGTCGTCAATGAATGTAGAATATAAAAGTAGTTGGATAAAGCTGAAGTTACCAAAACCAAAACTCTAAAATTTGAAATTTGATATAAATGTAGTTGCTTATATATGGCATAGGTCAACCCCAAGCCTGAGCTATTGCCTTCTACTACACTACAAAGGTACATTACTTCTCTTGTGAAACACCACCATCACCTTTTCTTCTTGACATTATTTGTTTTATAGCACATTCTACTTTACTTCATGATTTTTCACACTACTCTATGATTCATACTTCTCAAAATTCAACTCTAACTTTTCACATGCTTGTGCGGATTGGACAAATTTTAATCGAATTGATATGATGTAGAAGATAGTTGAACAAATTACTAATGAATTCTATCATTTCAACATCATGTTAGAGGATGAGTATTAAAATATTCCAAAGACCAACGAGGTAAAGTGAAACTATTTAATTTAAAAGTTTGTTAGATTCTAAGTTAAAGTGTTTAGTAGATCTCAAAAATTTCAATGTTGTTTCTAACAGTCCTCTGACATATTAACTTAACTTATTAGACACCCGCTCAAAATACAAAACGAAATGGTAATATATGAGGAATGATTAGATTAGATTAGATTAGATGACTATTCTTGGAAATGAATCTAAAAAGAAAAAAATGAAAACAAAAAGTGGGCAGAGTATGTAGATAGAATAACATTATATAGAGGGGAGGCATCATGAGATGTCCTTAATCTGCTGCCCCTCTGGCCTTTTGTTATATGGTCGAGCGCAATTTCGGCTCAATGGGCCCAAAATTCTTGACTAAACAAAAGAACATGAAAGCCCACATGTAAGAAATAAGGAATGAATTGACTATTCAAAAAATAGTTAACCTTTTTTGTTCAGGATATCTGCACCCACCCCAAGATTCGAACATGAGAGACATTAAGAATTTTTCGTATTAAGTTCACGGAAAGATTTGAACTTGAAACCTCTAAACTAGCATGACCAAAAAAGTTCAGGTCTTTGCCAATCGAACTACCTTTAGGTCTTTTGAAAAATATATATAATTATACCGTGCAAATTGCAAAATAGATGTAAGAAAGAAACATGATGGATGATCCAACCCCAAAAGGGCACTGGTGGGACCTTGTGCCCTGTATCCAAGGGACACCATGCCCTTGTCCCCATTATGCACCACCTACCACTTTCTTCACTGCTCAAAATAGAGCCAATTTTGTCTTATTTTCCGCTAATATCTCTCCATCTCTCTTTTCAAATGGTGTTGCTATTGTATCCAATGGATAGTTTTTGGAAATGAAGTCATCCCCTTTTAGTTCAGTCTCTTTCGTTTTTAGTTTTTGAAAGTTATGTTCGCTCCCGTTCACGATTTTCTGGGTATGTTTTTATATTTCTTAAAAACGCATTTGAATTCCTAGTCAATTTCAAAAATGAAAAATAAGTTTCTAAAAATAAGTTTTTTAATTTTTAAAGTTTGACTTAAATTTTGAAAATCGTTTTATTATCAATTGGGGCATAAATTATATGTTCTCCACGATTTTATCCTGCTAGACACATCGATATGAAGTTGTCCTTAATATGCCAGCCCATAAAATAAAATAATATATATCAATTGATGATATCTAAGTATGAATGAAAGGAGTAGATATACTATTGCAAATACCCGAAACTTTTCCTAACTAATAGAAGAGTATACGTTTGCACATCTCTATAAAACTCTAGATCAAACCTTCAACTTTTGGGTCGGTTACAGGTTCGTGTTCACGAAGCTATTTTTAGATTGACACATCGGAGATGAGACGGAGTATGATACATCACGATCAATTTTCCCAAACCCTAGTTGATACTACATACATACAGTAGTGAGAATCATTTACCTGTTGCAAACCTCCATCAAATTTGACAGCCCCACTCCTATTCCATTTTGTTTTCTTCTCAAAGTAATACATTATACTATAAACTTTGTTCTTATGTACCTAATTTATCCATGCAACTTATATAATTATAAATATTAGTTTTACAACAAAAATACTAGCTTTTGTACTAAAGCTTTATCTTTTATATAAGTGGCTCAAGACCCAATCACAAGCATGGTAGTTGAGAGTTAAGAAGAAACCCAAATATCAATTAATAATAATAATAACAATAATAATAATATATAGCATTTTGGTAATGCTATGTACAAAGGACAGTTCCCTAAACCCTAAAAAACCTGCAGCATTTCTGTAACGCTGTCTTTTTATACCTCTTTTTTTCTCTTCCCATTGTTGAATATTACCCTACAAACTTACTTTTCTCTTTATTATTATTATTATTTATTTATTTTTACTGTTTTTTGCTCCCCATTTTTTGTTTGTTTGTTTTGTTTTCTTCTTGTTTGTCTCTTCTTTTGGGATCAGTTATGTATTGGAGGCTTTCTCTTTGCTGGAGAATAGTCCATCTCTGCAATGTCTACGAGGTCTGGATAATGCTCTTGGCCTGCCTCAAGATTCTCAGAAACTGCCTCTGAATTGTCCAATTCCTTCTTATCTTTCACACTCAGCTCCTCTTTCTTTGATATGGGACTGCCCCTTTTAAAGTTTTCTCCTTCCTCATTATTCTGTATCACAACATAGAAAAACTGTTAACTTTCTCGGGTTTTGAATAAAAATATTAAATTTACTCTCTAAACCCCGCTGTTTAAGCTTTTAGGAGGTTAGTACAGTAGTAATTTAACGTGGTATCAGAGCTGGAGATTTGCGTCAAGCTCCCCTATATTCAGAGGCACCCATGCACCTTCCCAAATCTCAGATCCGGGAGATATCAAAGGTTTGAACTTGAAACTTCTATAAACTAGTATGATCAAGAGACCTCGAACCCTTGCCAATCGGACTGTCTCTTGAGAGCTTTCCTCTCAATTAATATTGATAACCACTTTTCAAATATCTCGAGAAATGGGGAGTTAGAAATGGTGATAAGTGACTAACCCTTGTTATGGAAGGGGTTGAAGATGATGGAGAAGTCGCAGTCAGAAGTTTTCTAATGTTTCCTGCATCATAAATGTCAAACCCACTTCAGAAATGGATATGTACAAACTGAGAAATGTCCCATTTGGGTTGTTTTATATATGACGGTGTATTATATTAACTATATATTGGGGCATAATGTAATGCACCATTTGTAAAAATTAAATTGCCTTAAGAGTCTAAAAAAGCATACCTGAATTACACTGCCCTTTTCTGCAGAGAGTAAAAATCTTCCCAAAACCTTCTTCTATCAGTGGACTTTCCTCTGCCTGCATTTAATGTGTGTATTAATTTCCCATCAAGATTAGAGATTTTCAGATCAACCCCACAAGAAAAAAGAAAAAAAAGGTTGAGAATATGGATATGTTAGAGAGAAAAAAAACAACTTACAAGGGATTTTTCAAGCTGCCCAATTGGCTTAATTATCCCATTCCCCAAGCGAATACCTTCACAACATAGAAAAATCTTTCACAATCATGTTCCATTTATGCATATAAAACAACAAAAACAAGAACCCATCTGACAGAAATGGCAAAATTTTGCATACCTTGAGCTTGATTAGAGAGGAAGGAGAAGATAAGGAGAAGAGAAGCTAGTACATTAGTGGACCTCATTTTTGGATAAAAATCTTATCTTTTTCTTTTGGGGTTTAAAAGAGGAGATCAGAGAGTGGAAAGAAAACTAAAGAAACAAAAAGGAAGACAGTTTTGGAATTCTTAAGGTGGTCAGATCAGAAAGACTAGGAAGAAGAGATATAATAAGGGGCCGGGTTTGTTTTTTCTTTTGAAATTGGAGAAGATTTTGAGAGATATATGGAACTCGTGAATGGTTGATGGCTTGAAAATTGAAGCTTAGAATTGTGTATATATATATATATACATGTATATGAGGTAAGGTCCCACTTTCATGATTTCTCTAAACTTTAAAGTTCCGATTGGGATCTTTCTTCTACTTTCTTCTCAGTTTCTCCCCCTCTTGTTTTTCTTTATTTAGAAAAATAACACCCTTTTTCAACACAAAAGACCTAATTTTTAACCAAAATTCAATGATGGGTTGATTTTCAGATAGCTCAAATTTCAAACCCCACCTCTAAAAAAAACCCAATTTGGCTTTTCACTAGAAGAGATTTTTTTTTTCCTTTTTTCATACGACCCCATTTCCCAAATTGCAACTAAAAAGAAGCCCTTTTATGTGTTCACCATATAATACTTTTAATTTAACTTCGTCTGTTTGCAAAGCTTTAGAATCCATGTAAAATATTGTGTTGATTAATGATTTGGACTGAGAAATTGCAATTAAGCCAATCACCCCTTTTTGAGCGCATCAATCAAGGGTGTGAAATTCAAACTCGTGCCCTCTTGATCGAAAATAGGTACCATTTTTAGTTGAGTTAAACTCAAGTTGGCCCAATCCCTCGTTGTTAAGAGAAGACACAGGTATTGATTTTCCAAGTGCCAAATAAATGTCTGTCTTATTTATTATTTTTTTTCCATTCTCATTGGAATCAAGAGGCTATAATTCAGTGTAGGACCATGCTGTTTTGGGTGATTGATCAAATCAAGTGGCTGTCTTCAATTAGAGGTACCATCATGTGCAAAATCATAACCTTCAATTCAAACGCCCTATGGAAATGGGGATAAGGAATGGTACATCTCTTTGGATCAATCCCTCACTCCCACCTTGATGAAAGGTTTACATGGTAAATTGACAAAAGCAAAAAATTAATCTCTCAAGAGTTATTTCTAACTCATGTGAGGGTAGAACCGAAATGAAATAGATCTTTTAAGACTATGCAAGCACATTTAATAAAAGATTTAAAAGAATTGATAATTGTTCTCCATACTACTAAAGTCTACCTTTTTTTCTTTTTCTTTTTTTTTTGTGGCTCGGTCGTATGAACTCCATCCACAGTTAAACATGCTGGCTTGGAATAATTCTATGTTGGTTGATCGATCCCCTAGAATTTTTTTTTAGAAAGCACGTGAGTAAAGATAAAAACATGTTAAAATGACCAATATTGGTTTAGGTAAACAGTCTTTTTAACTTACGCACCCAAGCAACTCAAATCAAGGTAATTAATTGGCGCATCTAGGTCACATGCAGGGAGAATGCTATGACCACAAGTACTGAATCCATATTCTAAATCCTAATCCGAATCCGAATCTTAGGTACATGAGATGTTCTATATATTATGAAATTATCTTTTATCACACACTAATTACCATTAAGTGTACTTAGTTTTTGATGGATATGTATTTGAAGATTAAAATCAAATTTTTTGTTTTTAGAAAAAATACTTCTATAAGGGTGGTTTATAATTCAAATTCATCATGGATTGTTTACCAGCATTGAACTTTCTTGGTTTGATTGTCTCTACATAAAAGTATGAAGAGAAGAGTAAGAATAGAAGTGAAGATGTATGAATTCATAATAAATGCAATATATTTTAAGGGACAAAATTTATAGCTTTCTTTTTCTAATTTTGGAACAATGTCAAATTAATAGAGGGGAGGGGGGTGACATGCCACATCATCAAGGATGAGAGGGGTCGGTGGGGCCCAAAGGCCTGTGTTGGGGAACAATCAAATTTAATGCATTTGGCGTGCGAGGGTGACTAGACAACGGTGAAAGGCAAACAAATTTCCATAATTCACCGTATTTACCGACGTGGTGGCATGCTCTCTCCCACGTGGACGTCCATATCTTGGGTCCCCTATCTAGACGACGTGGCAGCTCTGCCACGAAGGCACCGCCACTCCACGGTTCACACGCTTCTGCCCTGCCCAGCCAAGCGGCGCGCGTGTCTACTAACAAATTAACTTCTTATTTGAGTTCTCCACGCTCTCTCTTTTCATTTTATTAAATTTTAATTGATTTGATATGATAGGATAAAATACAAGTTAACAATGATAGACTAATTTAATTAAACTCGTTCTTCTACCTCCTTTAACTGGTCCAAAACGAATAAATTGACGCAAATGTTCAAATTTAAAAAACTAATATTTTAAAAGTTTACAAAAAAAAAATTTATATATTTGTAAAATCATGGATGTTTTTTTCTTTAATTAACTATTTACCTTTGGTATGATAATATGTATATTATTTATTAAACTATGTTTAGATTAACAAAAAAATCATGCATTTACATATTTGAAATGGAATGGATTTGATTACTAATTAAAGTACACTAATTATGTCTTTCAAACATGCCCAAATCCCTCCTTTAGAACAAATTTTCAAAATTAGAATCTTTGACTCATGATGAATATACACACATTCATTCCTCCAAGAATCTAAAGATTTATAAGATAATTATGATCTAGATCTATCTATAAGCCCAACTTGAGACAAATTCCTGTTCTCTCAATAACATAATAGCAAAATATACTTCTAAAAATAATATATGTTACATTTTGTTAAAATTTTAAACTACACAGTTAGGTTGTTATATGAATGGAATATACTATTTTAAGTAAATAAAAATGGAGTTTTATTCAATCAACGTACCTATAACCTAAACCTATGACCTTCTTGTCCTATATTCTTTTTATGTAAATATGCCTAAAGAAAAAGCCAACAACAAATTAACTAACCAATATAGAATTTAAATTCATTAAATAAAACGACATAGGTTTGAAACATTGGAAGTTGAGAAAACAAAAAATAAATAAAATAAAATTACAAATATATATATATTTTTTGGGTTTTAAATGTAAAAACAGAAAAACAAAGTGGAAATGGATAGAAGGATATGGTGTAAAAGCTGTCTTTAGAAGTTTCTGCTGGCAAAGCGACAGCACATGTTCCTCGGAAACTGGATGTTTTAAATATAAATTTAAAATATTATATGTAGTTTTTTTGTTTATTTTTTTTTAAATTTAATTAAATGAATTAAAAACCATGGCTCCTCATTCTCGTACGTGTTTTTTGGTTAAATGTCTGGTCAAACCATAACAACAGAATTAATTCCAAGTAATTATTGACTTTATATTTAATTTTTCTACCTAGAGTTTTTAAAACTTAGAATTTGAAGGTCAAAAAGGCAAAAAGAAACATTAAAATTAAGACTAATTTATTAAGTCTTAATTATTATAACTCATCATAACACCGTGGTTTTCCAACTTTTTAGATGTTTTCTTAAAAACAACTTTTCTTTTTGTCTGGTACTAAATGTTTAATTTTAATACTCTAAATTAAAATGTAAACTTGAACGAGAAAATGACATTACTACTGCTAGTTACGTTTAATATTTTTAGATTTGTAATTCTTGTAATTGAAAAATTCTATTTTTATGAGTGCTGTTAGAATATTTTCGCTTTATTGGATTTTTATTTTTAGCTTGGGTTAGAATATTTTGTTTTTGAGCTTGAGGTTATTTTACCTCTTGATTTTATGGCTAAATTTAAATAATTTTATGGTCGAGGTTGGGCATTTCTATGACTTTGATCTCGTGAGGTCATGTTATTTTTTGTTGTTTGTTAATTTTGCATGATTTATTGGTTGATTTCATGCATAACTATTTAATTTAGTTTTGAGAAAATGTTAATTTTACCACTTATCTAAATCTTTATGAAATCGAAAGTTCGGAGAGAAGTTGACTCATTGAGTTAAATCCAAGAATAAAAGTGATTATTTCTTTTCCACTCGATTTTTTTGAATCAAATAATTTTGATTGGAACCATATAATTGAAAAAAAAAAGTTACATATTGGGTAAATCAATAAGGTAAATTTGGATAAAAACACGAACAATAGATTTTGTGAGAATGCAATTTGTGAAAAGTCTTATTCCATGTGAGAAGTTGGTTGGATATGTCATAAATGTGGTAAACTATAAAAAAAAAATCTTTGTCATAAGTCATTTTCTCAGTTTCGATTCTATTTACTTTCTCGATCTCTACTCTAAATATATATCCTTCTAATAAATAGATAGGGAATAATTTTTCGTGCCATAAAAATTAGTCAAAAAAAAGAAGCATATACTATATTCCAACTTTAATTAAATCAAATTTCGTCAAGTAAGAAAAAAAAAGATGTTTTATTTTAATAACTCGTTGACTCTCTCTTGATCTTCCATATGGACTCCCATAAAACAACAATAAGAGATTTGTGGCTAAAATTATCATGGGATAATCGAACTTTTTTGATAGTGTGTTTTGAAAAGGTACATTGAAATGTAAGCATACTTCAACTTTTTGCACCAAAAACTTTATTTATGTAGTCATGTCAATAAGTTTATATCACGTACAACTTAAATTTTGCTTTTGTTTTCCCATTAAGAAGTTGGGCCCAAAAACATTCTACAAATATTTTCTCATAAAATATTTTTAGATACTTTGACTTTGTTTTACTTCCAAACATGATAATTTTGAATCGGAACTAGTGTTTTGGATAAATGTCAAAAGCCCCAAGTAAAAATTTAGCTTAAAAACTGTTTCGAGTAACTATTTTCCAGATATGTTTACATAATTGTTTATATATAAATATAGTTCTAATATTTTCTGCACGTGGGTTACGCTGCACTTTCTAAGACATTACCTACGTGGGAAAAGGGGTGAAATTGCAAATTCTCTCATGTTTAAAGCATTGATCTGACTGAAAAGATAAGGTGAGTCATACCATGTAAGACATTTCTTGTAAATTTGTTTCCTAATCCTACCGTAAATTTGATTTTGACATATAATAGAGCAAGCTCCGAGAAGGTATAGGCCAAGTCTTCTAGCACCATCTCGACCAACATCTTAATTATCATAACTCCACACCATAATTCGCTTTTTTTTTTCAATAAAAAAACCATACTACAAAACAATAATCCATAAGGTAGTTGCTTCTCACCAATAACAAGTTTAATCAAGGGGGAGAATTGTCAAATGACATTGTCGGGTCATTGTTTGACAAGCACATGGGCAAAGTCTTGGTCTTTTCTTTGCCACTAGAAAAGGCCCTTCTTCAAACTTTGATGTGTCCACTTACATACTTAAACTCCTTCAAAGGGATCATTTTTCAACTCTCTAGTGGCACCACATCACTTAATTTGGTCGCAAAAAGCAGCAAAAAGGAGACCCATTTGAGAAATTTTTGGTTTTGTGAAGAACCCTAAAACCAAAAGACATGATTGCTTGATGGGTCCAGACAGTGGCAGGCATATGAAATGAGTATATATCAACATAATGCAACATGAGTATTAATGGCATTGAGGCATTAAGATGAACATCTTGTGGACTTGTAAAATGGTGTGGGTTTGGTTGGAGCAATAAATGATATGAGAATGATGTGTATTTATGATTGCCTTTGGTATCTTTTCTCGAACTCTTCTCGTAACGAGTCTACTCGCATCGTCTTCTAGATCGAAAGATGACTTTAATTCTCTTTTGTCATTTAGACGATACTATACAAGTAATTACTCATTTGCCGTTTTACACGTGCTTGTGAATTTTACATTTTTTTTTCAAAGTCTTTGTATGGCATGTTGGAGTCTCTTAGAATTTATGTATAATAAACTCACTATTTATCGCTTTTTCCATTGTGCTGTGTGAATTATTATTCATTAAATTCCCAAAAGTTTTGAAAGGTAGTATATCGTATAGTTTATATTCTCATGTATTATCAATTTTAATCACCTTCTACCTTTTCTCTCCACAATCTAACTATTAGCTTAAACTTAAACAATATAATTAGACGATAAATTATTTGAAAAGAATGAGAAAGACATATATTTCAATCGAATATTCATACCTGATCCTATAGTACTTATTTTCTTTGTCATCTCAACAAATTCTATGCCATACTTCTAACAATGGTAAGTTTCAAACAAATCGCATTTTTGTGATTAATTTGGTATGAAGTAGCGTAAGGGACAAACAAAGCTAATGAATGACGCGAACAAGACAAAAGTCGTTTTTTAGCGACTCAACTTATTTATACAAAGCTCCATAAATATCAAGAGAAACATAACTTTTGAAACCCTAAAACTTAGATTGCAAATGCATGCTTGATGCTCTACTTTCCCACAAGGCCATACCTATGAGTTATAAGCCTCACATGGGATTAAGGGTACAATAGCACATGGGTGTGTAAGGCTCTTCTCTTAAACCAGGTGGCCCACCATATATATATATATATGAATCATCTTCTTCTTCCTTCCACACTCTATGTCTAGCCCTGAGCTAGGGTTTTCCCAACTCTAATTAACATGATGTTGTATAAAGTTTGGAAGCATATGATAAACCTCATTTTGATTCAATGGGATCGGATATACCGTCATTTTTTAATTGGATTTGCCTGAGTTTACATACGTTTACCAAATGATTCAGCTATTCTCTCGGTTGGAATGAATTGCTTATGATGTCTGTGTTCCCATAAGAAATCGCGAAGTCACGCATTAATAGTAATTAATGGAACTCGTAATTAAAAAATAAGTTAATACCTTTTTAATTTGAATCAAGATTCGAGTTGGTAAGGTTGACATGACAGAGCAACACAATTAGCAGTACAGAACTTAAACCCAAGACCTTCAGTGATACCAACAAGGCCCAACACACATTGACAATTCTAATCAAAATCAAAATCAAGTTTGTTTGTTTTTTTTTCTTCTTTTTGTTTTTGAAGAAAAGAAAAGATATGCAAATCTTTTCCCATCTATCACTTTTTTTCACTTTTGTCCATGAAGCTAGATCATGAGATCTTGTTTTTAATATATACACTATCTAATTTTATTTAATTGGATCATAATATCGAATTGGTTCACTTTTTTATATAATAGATAACCTTTTTAAAATATTACAATACATTTTTTTTTTGGGAAGAATTCAATTAATCCCTTAACTTTTACATGTATACGTCAATTTGAGCATAGCTTAAGCAGATATATAAGACACATTAACATACCTTCCAAAGGTCGTTGGTTCGATCTGTGGATTATAAGTGACTGTTTACTCATCATTGAGATTGATAAGTATTGATTGTTGATATAATGTAATTATGTCCCAATTATTGATTTAAATGGCGTTGATTAGGGCTATTATCACCCATATTGTGTCGTAGTCTAAGTGATAAAGTGACTCAATAATATGACAATAATCAATCCTATGATCTATTATCATCTATTATCAATAAGTATCTAATAAACATTAATGTTTTTTATGAAAAGAAAAAAAATGAAGGGATCAAGTATTTCTATTCTAAAATTACAAATTAAAATTTTTTCCAGTTCAACCGGGAGTAAAGATTAGAACTTCCAAACCTTTAAGAAAGTAAATAATACCTGGACCAATATACTCGTTTAATATATAGTTGCCACTATTTTTTATATAGAAAAAGAAAGAAAAATATATTTTTAACTGATCTCTCGTACATTTATTTTGAGTATTAATTAATTTTGTGTATATTAGGCCTGAAGCGTCGGGGAACATGGTGTATTCTTATAGTTGGAATTTAATTTAAAAAATCAATTTGATTTTAATGGATTTCATCTCCCAAAATGTCTACAAAGTTGATAGTTTTCTATAATCTGCCTAATATGTCCTCCAACTTTAATTTTGTATCAAATAAATTTCTACTTTTAACTTTGTTAAACTCAATTAATTTAGTACTTATGTGACACACTGACGGTACTATTTAGAGATTATGTTATTACGCACGGGTACTGGGGTAAAATTTCATAGGTTTTGGCGGGTAAATGATCAAAGGAAATTGGGGAGGATTTAGGGCACATTGTTTAAAGCTTGGGGATAGCTAATGGGTGAAGGAAATTGGGGTGAGTTTAGGGCAAAATTTCAAGATAGTGAGAAGTGGAAAAGTAAGGTAATCAAAATAAATCAAAACAAAAGTGATAAGCAGAGGGAAGGAAAAAAGAAATAAAGGGGAGCAAAGGAAATCGTGCACTGTTACAAAGGATTTTTTACAGGATAATAATCGATATGATTTTGAAAGTTCATTGACTTATTGTATAAAACTGCGAAAGTTCAGAGATTATAGTCCAAATACGTTCGAAAATTTCAGAAAACTCACAAATTCATCTCTTTTCTTTGAATAAACTTTTCTCAACTATTTATTATCAATAGTAAGCTATTATAAGTTCAAAACGTCCTATTAAAGGGTTACAACTCTGTTTTTGTGAAACAAATATCATTCAATTGTGGGAGTTCCATAAGAGAAATATGATACCGGCTCTCGATTCCGTTTTTGAATCGATTCGAAGAGGGAGCTCCGAGATCAATCTTCTTATGGTGGAGCAACTGGATTTTGATCTATCAGGTCAAAAAGTTCATCTCCAATTCCAAATCCAAGCATCCTAGCCATATTACCAGTCTTCAATCTTGGCTTTGGAATGTCATGTTGCTTCAACCATGAATATACAGTGAAAACTTTGTTCATCACAAATAACTCCAAAGCCTCAGGATTGAACACAATCCCCATTCTCATACTTATCTGCAACCAACAAAGATCCAAAAAAAGAAGTCCTTAATGTGTATCAGTGCTCTAATCCTCCCTTTCACACTCCTTAATATGAACATTTTCATAACATTCCATCACTGGCATTACCTGGTGAGGGACGAGCATGGCTGCATAGCGAGCGAGTTCCCCAGCCCTCCAGTCTAATAGGACTGGTAGCCATGGGTAGACTGAATCAAGCCTCACAAACCACAGCCTTATGTCAGGGTATTCGGATAATTCTCGTCGATCGTAAGGATCTTCTCGGGTATAGTTGATGGTAAAACCAATTGTACGCTCTAGAAACTGTTTTGGCTCAGCTGTAACAGTACTAGAAAAAGAACTCACTTGGGGTCACAGAATTAATCTCAAAACAATGATATAAACAGATCAACACCCCCAAAACTTACTAGATAAAGGTGAGATTATTCCAGTTGTTTTCTGAAATGGGGATAAGTCTAGACGACGAATTGTATCGTTGTCTATAACCACGTCGAATCGCCCATCGGTGGGTGGCATTGGAGGTGCAACTTTAGGAGAATCTGTGTTTATAATTCAACAACTCCCTCAGATATGACAACAATTGTTCTCCCTTTTCTATTGCTAGTTGCTACAACTCCATTTTGAGGGCAAGAAAGAACTAGATAATGTTTGTAAAATCAGCCCTAACGGTTATATTTTCCTTTTCTCAAAAGATATCGATGAACAAATCACCATTCATCATTCAGAAAATGGAAGCTGATCATCAAAGAACAGAGGAATTCTCTTTCATTGACTAATTATATGGCTATTCAAACAATCGACCTACAATATTCATCCGATGGTCATTTGGGAGAATTTCCCCCAATTTCCCCCTCTTCCCTCAGAATTCTGATTGAAAAAATGCGATTTCTAGACAAGTAATGCACAAATCAAAACAAATACAGAACAAATTGTAAAGCTGAAGCACAAGTTGGAGGCGTTACCATCTTCATCGTCTTGCAAAGAGAGTTCAAAATTTCCCGACGGATTGAAGGCGACGGAGGCCGCTACTTGTCGGCGGTGCCGGGGGAAGGTGGGTCTGCAAAAACTCCATGAAGCGGGTGACCTAGATGGCTGATTAATGGAAGGAGAAAGTGGAAGCAGAGGTTTAATGGCGGGAGTGGTCATTGAGCCGATAAAGTGGCGAAAATACCACACCAATTACTTATCCAATTTAGTTTCCTTTCCGTTCATGTTTTTTTTTTCTCTCTTTAAAATTGTTCCAATTTTCAAAAATATTTGTTTGGTTTTTTTTTTCCCTGAGTAGAATAATTTTTGGTCATTCATTCTTCACTTTTTACTCTTTTTCATTTGGACAGTGTTTGATTAGAAAAATGATCAATTTCGCGAATGTCGGATCAGCTAGGAATGTCTAAACCAACTCGAGAGAGAGAATCAGATTATTCGCGTACTTGAAAGTAGAGTGAATGGATCTATTTATAAGTGAAGTCTTCGACAACGTTCCTGACAAGGCCTCAATGACTCTTTAAGGTAGACATAAAACGTGGCATGATGTTGCGGAGTCTGTCGGAGAGGCTCTATTTGGTTTACTCGACCGTTGGAGAGGCTCGGCTCGGCATGAGAACTCATGATCGAGGTGAGTAAACTTAGACTGCTTAGAAAGGAGATCCACGTGTACCTCTAAGCATCCAATCATCGCATGCCACGTGTGAGTGGAGAAATGACCTCCAACAAAGAGGTAAACTTTGAGTCACCTATCAACATTTAATTCTACTAATTTAATACTAGTTTTCTAACTTTGATTTTGTTTTATTTTGGATTCTTTCGAATAAAAGTGATGATTTGGATAATAACATATGGACGAGGAACATTGCAGCCTCTAAAATATGATACTTGCAGGAGGGCATAGTGTTGCGGCGACAAGCACATGGAGTACTTCACAAGTTAGGCAAATTGTGACATAGGCTTATTTAAAAGTATTTTTCTCATGATGTCTTTTAGTGTGCAAATTGGAATTTTGGATTTAGATCGGATTCTCTGCTGAGAAATTAGATAGACAAATGCATTTAAGGGCTTCTTGAGGGTTGAGGCACAATTATACACCGTATTTGGTCTGGTTTAATTTTAATTATTATTATTTTATTTTATTACGTTTATTTTAATTGTTTTAGTTAAAAATAGTATAATTTACTTTATTATTAGTTTTAAGGTAAAGTTTTAATTAAATTAAAAAGTTTAATTTTATTTAAAAAGATTTATAAGAAAATAAAAAAGATTTTATTTAAAAAAACAAGATTCCTTGAATTTTTTTTTATGTATTTAAGAGGCGATAGTACGAAGGAGGGAACACTGAGAACAATAACAAAATAGAGTAGATGAATAAAAAAGATTTTATTTTCTAAAAGCTCTAGTATCCTCCTCCTTCTTTATCTCATTCTCTTTAGAATTTGGCCACTCCCACTCTAGTCTTCACTCTTCCCTTTGACCTCACCATCACATCCTCTTCTTTTCCTCCAACCTTTTCATATATATATATATATATATGTGTGTGTGTATATATCCATACGAAAAAATATATATATTTTTTCCTTTTCCTTTGCAAATCTGACGAGGCACCACCACAAATTTCGGGTCCAGCAACGAACAGATCTGACAGAACGCAAAAGGCACGAATGGGCAATAGACCCAAGCAAGCACCGGCAGCGCGAACGGCGATAGATCACCTACAACGAAGAGTCCGATGATCCACTCTGACACTCACGAGCTCCTGTTTCTTTCTAGCAAAAGTCCAACTGGAGAAATCTCTGTAAAAAACAGTATACCATTTTTTAATAATAATAAAAAAAAATCTTTTTAACAAAAGAAAGTAAAATTTTCGTTAAAAAAAAAACTCCAACACACGTGGCATTCCCTGCCTCTCTCTCTCACTGCACAAAATAGAGCCATTTTTGTCTATTTTAAAACAAAATTTAAAACACAAAAAAGGAAGTTTTTGAAAATTACTTCATTAGTTTTCAAATTTTGATTTAGATTTTGAAAATGATGGTATAAATGATAGGGGTAAAACACAAAAATACATGGGTGTGAAAGTAATGCGTTAACAAACTTGATTTTCAAAAATAGAAAATTAAATAACAAAATGGTTATCAAATTAGATATAAATTATATATTCTCCACGATTTTATCCAATAATTAAACCACCCTTAGGAATGGTGAGTTTCCTTAGTAATGTTTCCCACAGCTAATGGAAAAAAATTTCAGTATTATATTTCCATTGGTATGCCATTTTAGCCCTTTTAAGGATGGGATGAGATCCATAAAAAAAATATATATATATATCAATTGATGATTTACCGTGTCTAAGTGTAAATATAAGGAGTAGATACTATTGATATACTCGAAACGACATCGTTTCCCTTCAATGACGGACACAACTTGATTTTGTACATATCCGAAATCTTTCCCAACTAATATGAGACTACATTTGCACGTTCCAATAAAACTCTAAATGAAACCTTCAACTTTTGAGTCGGTTACACGTGTCGTGTTTACTAAGCTATTTTGAGATAGGTCAAGTTCGATTTTCCAAAGCGTAGTTGATGATTCTATATACATACCCTAGTGAGAAGCATTTACCTGTTGAACCTCCATCAAATATGACAGCCCCACTCCTATCCCCTTTTTGTTCTCTTCTCAAAGTAATATATTATACTATAAAGTTTTTGTTCTTATATACCTTTATCGATGCAACTTACATAATTATAAATATTAGTGTTACAATAAAAATACTAGCTTTTGTAGTAAAGCTTTATCTTTTATATAAGTGGCTCAAGACCCAATCACAAGCATGGTAGTTGAGAGTTAAGAAGAAACCCAAATATCAATTAATAATAATAATAACAATAATAATAATATATAGCATTTTGGTAATGCTATGTACAAAGGACAGTTCCCTAAACCCTAAAAAACCTGCAGCATTTCTGTAACGCTGTCTTTTTATACCTCTTTTTTTCTCTTCCCATTGTTGAATATTACCCTACAAACTTACTTTTCTCTTTATTATTATTATTATTTATTTATTTTTACTGTTTTTTGCTCCCCATTTTTTGTTTGTTTGTTTTGTTTTCTTCTTGTTTGTCTCTTCTTTTGGGATCAGTTATGTATTGGAGGCTTTCTCTTTGCTGGAGAATAGTCCATCTCTGCAATGTCTACGAGGTCTGGATAATGCTCTTGGCCTGCCTCAAGATTCTCAGAAACTGCCTCTGAATTGTCCAATTCCTTCTTATCTTTCACACTCAGCTCCTCTTTCTTTGATATGGGACTGCCCCTTTTAAAGTTTTCTCCTTCCTCATTATTCTGTATCACAACATAGAAAAACTGTTAACTTTCTCGGGTTTTGAATAAAAATATTAAATTTACTCTCTAAACCCCGCTGTTTAAGCTTTTAGGAGGTTAGTACAGTAGTAATTTAACGTGGTATCAGAGCTGGAGATTTGCGTCAAGCTCCCCTATATTCAGAGGCACCCATGCACCTTCCCAAATCTCAGATCCGGGAGATATCAAAGGTTTGAACTTGAAACTTCTATAAACTAGTATGATCAAGAGACCTCGAACCCTTGCCAATCGGACTGTCTCTTGAGAGCTTTCCTCTCAATTAATATTGATAACCACTTTTCAAATATCTCGAGAAATGGGGAGTTAGAAATGGTGATAAGTGACTAACCCTTGTTATGGAAGGGGTTGAAGATGATGGAGAAGTCGCAGTCAGAAGTTTTCTAATGTTTCCTGCATCATAAATGTCAAACCCACTTCAGAAATGGATATGTACAAACTGAGAAATGTCCCATTTGGGTTGTTTTATATATGACGGTGTATTATATTAACTATATATTGGGGCATAATGTAATGCACCATTTGTAAAAATTAAATTGCCTTAAGAGTCTAAAAAAGCATACCTGAATTACACTGCCCTTTTCTGCAGAGAGTAAAAATCTTCCCAAAACCTTCTTCTATCAGTGGACTTTCCTCTGCCTGCATTTAATGTGTGTATTAATTTCCCATCAAGATTAGAGATTTTCAGATCAACCCCACAAGAAAAAAGAAAAAAAAGGTTGAGAATATGGATATGTTAGAGAGAAAAAAAACAACTTACAAGGGATTTTTCAAGCTGCCCAATTGGCTTAATTATCCCATTCCCCAAGCGAATACCTTCACAACATAGAAAAATCTTTCACAATCATGTTCCATTTATGCATATAAAACAACAAAAACAAGAACCCATCTGACAGAAATGGCAAAATTTTGCATACCTTGAGCTTGATTAGAGAGGAAGGAGAAGATAAGGAGAAGAGAAGCTAGTACATTAGTGGACCTCATTTTTGGAAGAAACTAGTAAAGCAGTGCCGGAACAGATACTCAATTACCCAGAAATAATTGAAGTTATGGGGTAAAAATAACAAGATTAAAAATTAGTAAAGTTAAATTTAACATTGTTAAAATTAGTAACTTCTAGAATTAAGAAAAACTAAATGTTGCCAACATTTATCTTTTGACTGTGAATTAGTAATTCCCAACGGAAAGAAAGCTAAAGATACAACAGGAACACAGTTTTGGAATTCTTAAGGTGGTCGGATCAGAACACACTAACTAGGGAGAAGATATAACAAGGGGTTGGTTTTTCGGTTGCAAATATGACAAAAAAATATTTGGTAAAATAAGCGAAATAACAATTCCATTTAGTTTTTTCAAATATAACATTTTTTCCAATAAAAAACGGGTATCTAATTTTAAAATTATAATTTTCGCTTGTGATATATCTCTATAATATATGTACAATATATCTTATTAGTAATATATGCCTATGATATACCACTAATATAATAATGATATACAATTGATTTACTTTTGATATAACTATGATATCTACTGAACTTCTAACATGACTTACTACTGATATATGTATGATAACCATTGATTTACCACGCCGATACAACATTTATATATTTGTGATATATCTCTAATTTACCATTGATATACAAATGATATACCACTGATATAACTGTATGATCTCTACTGATATAACTTGTTAGGTATGATTATATGATTCATCACTAATATAACACTAATACATACTTCTAATTTATCATTGATATACCTCTGATATAACTTTGATATCTACTAATATAACTATAATACATGTGTGTTGATATAATACTATTATATCCACTATTTTTTCATATGAAAACAAAAGTGCAAGAAAAAATTTGAAATATAAAGTTATCGTATAAAAGGTTTATGTGGATCCTGCACATAAAAAAAAGTTCAAAATGTGATGTAYTTTATAAATTTAAACAATTTATATCCCTTATATTTAATATCTAATTGATATTACTATAGAATAAATAGTAATGATATAATAATCAATATTGTTGATAATATTAGTATATCAATCAACAAATTACAATGATAAACTGTAATTTAAATAAATGATATACCTTATATTTATTATATCGATTGCAAATATATTTAGTATATCATACATCTAATAATGTATATTATAGGTACATTTGATAATGTATATCATAAGTACATCGGATGTATATCGAAAGTATATCCGAGATACATCGATTGTATATCAGATATAGATATACATTTGATATATATCAGATACAGATATACATTGGATGTATACCATATATCATAAGGATAAAATTGAAATAATAAAAATTCAAATATTTACTATATTTGAAATTTAAAAAAATTGGTGATATTTTTTTAAATACATAAACTATTTTCGCTGCCCACCACGATTACTTTGTTTTTTCTCTTGAGAAGTTGACAAGTTTTTTTGGAGAGGTATTGTATGAAACTCGTGAATGTTTGATGGCTTGAAAATTGAAGCTTAGATTTGTATATATATAYACACACATATATGAGGTGAGAGGGTCCCACTTTCATGATTTCTCTAAACTTTTAAGTTTCGATCGGGATCTTTCGTCTCAGTTTTCYCCCTCTCTCGTCTTTCTTCATATGGAAACACCCTTTTTCAAGACAAAAAAAACCTAATTTTTAACCCCACCTCTCTAGAGAAGAAGAGGAGGAAAAAAAAAACCATTTTCTTCCGACCATATAATGCTTTATTAACACTATAATCTTAATTATCTTCATCTGTTTTCAAATCTTTAAAATCAAATGTACAATACATTGCTGATTAATCTCACTTTTGGAATTCGTGATTGGGTAGAATTTAATAGGATAATACTTAGTTCTTTAACGATGACCATTTTCTATTTTAAAAAATGCTTATTTTTACATTTCTTYGCCAATTCAATGGTGGTGAGGACAAGATTCTACTTATTGATAAAAACCACGTATTTTCTAAATTAATATTAAGACAAACCCATATTGATAGCTCAATCATATGAATTCGAAAGTTAAACCTGTTCGCTAGGAGCAATTTTATGTTGGGCGTTTGATCTCTTAGAGAATTTATTTTAGATAGCACATGACGGGTGAATGTAAAGAGTCTCAGCTCAAATCAAGGTAATTAAGTGATGCATCTAGATCACAGGCACCACTAAATACTAAATCCATATTCTAAATACTAACRTGAAATCTTAGACATGGGATGTTATATATACCATGAAATTAACTTTATCACTCATTGGCCATTGCTACTAAACAACTTGTAAGGATCTTCCTTACAATTCTTGATATTCAAAACAACAGAATGCCCGTAGGCTACAACTGGCCAATCAATTCGAGAGGGTTGGTTTCTCTCCCAATAGCTCTGGCTATCTCTTACACAAAAACTGACTGCCCTTCCCTCAAGGAGGGCGATCGCCTAATATTCCCCCCTCCCACTCATCCGCACGTCACTTYTGAACTAACTAACAAGTGAAATTCCCAACCTACCTCTTCTAGAGTAAGTATTAACAATTGGAGGCCTAACACAGATTTGTGTACTAACTATGATGGATATGTATTTGAAGATCAAAATCAAACTTTTGTTTTTCTAAAAAATATTTGTATAGGGGTAGATAACAATTCAAGTTCAAGCATCCTAGCCATATTACTTGTCTTCAATCTTGGCTTTGGAATGTCATGTTGCTTCAACCATGAATATACAATGAAAACTTTGTTCATCACAAACGACTCCAAAGCCTCAGGATTGAATACAATCCCCATTCTCATACTTATCTGCAACCAAAAAGGATCCCAAAAATAAGTCCTTAATGTGAACATTTTCATAACATTTCATCACTAGCAACACCTGGTGAGGGACGAGCATGGCTGCATAGCGGCAAGTTCCCCAGCTCTCCAGTCTAACAGGACGGGTAGCCATGGGTAGACAGAATCAAGCCTCACAAACCACAGCCTTATGTCAGGGTATTCGGATAATTCTCGTYGATCGTAAGGATCTTCTCGGGTATAGTTGATGGTAAAACCAATTGTACGCTCTAGAAACTGTTTTGGCTCAGCTGTAACAGTACTAGAAAAAGAAATCACTTGGGGTCACAGAATTAATCTCAAAACAATGATATAAACAGATCAACACCCCAAAACTTACTAGATAAAGGTGAGATTATTCCAGTTGTTTTCTGAAATGGGGATAAGTCTAGACGGCGAATTGTATCGTTGTCTATAACCACGCYGAATCGCCCTTCAGTGGGTGCATTGGAGGTGCAACTTTAGGAGAATCTGTGTTTATAATTCAACAACTCCCACAGATATGACCACAATTGTTCTCCCTTTTCTATTGCTAGTTGCTACTACATTTCTAGGGCAAGAAAGAACTAGATAATGTTTGTAAAATCAGCCCTAACGGATATATTTTCCTTCTCAAAAGATAGCAAAGAATAAACCACCATTCATCATTCAGAAARTGGAAGCCGAGCATCAAAGAACAGAGGAATTCTCTTTCATTGACTAATTATATGGCTACTCAAACAATCGACCTACGATATTCATCCAATGGTCATTTGGAAGAATTTTCCCCATTTTCCCCAATTTTCCCCTTTTCCCTCAGAGTTATGATTGAAAAATGCGATTTCTAGACAAGTAATGCACAGATAAAAACAAATACAGAACAAATTATAAAACTCAAGCACAAGTTGGAGGCGTACCATCTTCATCATCTTGCAAAGAGAGTTCAAAATTTCCCGACGGATTGAAGGCGACGGAGGCCGCAACTTGGCGGCGGTGGCGAGGGAAGTTGGGTTTGCAAATACTCCATGAAGCGGGTGACCTAGATGGCTGATTAATGGAAGGAGAAAGTGGAAGCAGAGGTTTAATGGCGGGAGTGGTCATGTAGACGATATATTGGGGAAAACACCACACCAATTACTTTACTTATCCAATTTAGTTTCCTTTCCATTAATCTATTTTCTTTAAAATTGATCCAATTTCCAAAAATAATTTTTTGGTTTTTTTTTCTCTTCTATGCAAAATAGGTGAAACAGTCTCACTCACAACACATAAGAATTAATTTCTAAAGTTGGTAGTTATCATAGGATTTGAACTCATTTTCTATCAATTAATCTGAGTCCCTTTGGACCTATGATGGTTAGCTCGTAAACATCTTTAAATATCCAACTTTTCAAACTATATCTCCAGGTCCTCGACATTTGTAGTGTCTCCCTACAAGTGAGCTAACATAAATACTTGTGTTTATTTAGTCTCTATATACTTAAAAAAAATTAATTAAGGTTGTTGTGTTTATTTTGTGTGGCACAGGTGATTCAACTTACGATTATGTAGTTTGTAGTGATCAAATACAAGGAAGAGATATTAGACTTGTTCAACTCAAATATGAGATGTCGATGATTGGTGCAGGTATTGGAATGAAGTTTGAAGTTACCCAACATAAGAGAGATGAAGGAGGAGATAAGGTTTTGGGAAAGGAACGTGAAGCAATATGCAAGAGCCTATTTTTGGAGGTCTTGTATTGGAATAAATAATATTTGATACAACGATTAGCCCTTCAAAGATATGGGGAGGAAACACTTGAGGAAGAAGGCGTGTTTTGCTATGCTTTTTCAACCTTATTAAGCTTTTGATTATGCGACTTTAATGCGTGGGTAAAATAGTCTTGAACTATCTATTCGATAGATTATATTGATTATAGACTATATCATTGGATATATAGATGCGTATCACTGATCGACTAAATGAGAGTGATATACGAGGGTGAAAAAGAAGTTACATAAAAATGTCTATATCATATACATGAACGATTTTAAAATGTTGTCGTATTTGCAAAATCATAATCTCGTTGTTAGATTTACAAACATGACAATTACGGCCAAAATATTATGCAAGTACCACATTGTCTATGAATGTATTACTTTTATTCAAGGGTATATAAGAAAATTAGCCTTTATTTAGAGAAACTTAGATGGGCCCTCGTCTACCTGGGCCTTCATTCCGTCTGTTGAAACAGCTGTAAGTGAATTCGGCCGTTAGGCCCACACAGAAGGCCCAACTAAGCCAGATCCAATTTGCTCAGAATTCAGAGACCAAAACCGTTTACAGAAGCAATTTGCAAATAATGCTAGCATCATTTATGAAATATTTATAAATATGTATTCTTCCTAAAGCAATTATATATATAATATTTTTTAAAATTTTATTATCAATTTTTACTACAACAAATATGGAAATGAGAAATTAAATCCTAGACCTAATAACTATATTCATGTTGGCAAAATTTTATTAATCATTTATTTATTCTAATCATAAATCAATAGTCATTGATAAACCATCACCATAGGGTTTACTTGRCTCCATGCGCATCTTCAACTTGTTGAATCGGGAGGATAGAGAGGATGAAGATCTATTAGAAAYAGGATTGATCGTTCGTTTTGCAAAATCTTTTCTTTCAAAAGATTTGCATGTATCTTACCAGTTCACTAAGAGAGATGGAAACCTGGTTGCTCATCTTTTGGCGTGAAGGACGTTGCTGCATCATGGACACGTCATCTGGATTGACGAAGGGCCGGTGGAGGTTTCAGAAGCTTTAGCTGGCGAATGTCTGGATTTTTTGATGTAATTGTTTTATTGTTTTCCTTAAAAAAAATGAACTATAATTACTAACATATGTGTGCTTCAAATTTGTTTTTATTTAATATTATTTCTTTAGTTGTTATTTGTACACTATTTTATTGAATTCATCCTAATCTATGGTAATATTAAACTTGTCATTTCAAATTAGGTTTGGGGTCAGAAATTTTCAAGTTGAAAAGGAGCTTCCTTTTGACTTTTAATGGAGATGCTGCACCCACTTTAATTTTCCATTAAGTAGTTTGATAAGAAATCAACATCCTAATGCCACTTAATTTCTAATCTCTTTATTTCTTTCTCTAATTATATTTATAATTATTGTTTGACCTCTCAAAAGTTTCACGTGACATAAATTTAATTTTAATTTTATTTCGTGTAATTTTAATTTTCTAATTTATTTATTTCCTTATAAAAAAACTAAATAACCATCAAATGGGTACTAACCGGTAAGCACTCGAGTATTTTTCTAGAAAAAAGTTAAAATCGAGACCACGAGGAGAGTCGGGACAAGAAATTTATTTCCCGAACTTTGCCTCTATTCTCAACATTAACTTTGTTGTAAGACAAAAATTTCTCCACTCTATCTAAGTAGAATTCCACAACAGCAAAAATTCGAYCGACAAACTTTTACCATCTCTTAAAAATGACGTTTTGGGAAGCACTTTTTGCATGCCTTTTCTAGAAGCAGACATGTTTGCATATTAGAAAAACAAATGTACATGACAAAAAGCTCAAGCATTTGGAGTGCACATGAAAATGAGAGAATTGGATTCTCTCTTTTTCTTGAACAAAAAGAAAAAGTAGTCAAATTTTATTACAATTTAAGGACTCCCTTCTTTAAGAAAAGTAGAGAACTATTTAACAAATAAAACACCCAAAAGTTTGAGATCCCAAATTTGACAGATATGTCCAACAAAATAGGCCCATATGTTCCATTATGATTATTCCTTTTACAAACTTGATGAGGCAGCTTGGTGGGCCACTCCTACACCAAATTTATTTTAAATGATTAATTTGATTATGGAGAAGATTAAAGTGAAGATTATTTATTCAAATCTCCCTTTCATTATTAGCCCTTTGAAAGAAAATCAAATCAAGAGGTAATTTGATTATAAGCATTGGCGTTTGATGTGGGGACTAGGTTCGCACTAATATTTAAAGAGGGTTAAAATCTTGTTATGTCAATAAATCTAAAAATTTAAGATGATGAATTTAATCGTTTATTAAAATTTTAACAATAGAACTGAAAATTTACTTCGACCGGTTATTAATCTTCCCATCTATACCGAAAATCCTTAATAACAAGCTAGAGGCTATTATTTACAAAATTGACTTACACAAAAGCTTTCAATTAAAGAAAACAACTTTTTTTTTTAATTTGAGTTTTTTACAAAGTTGATTGTTTATGACTTCTAGTTAAATCTTCCTTTACACGCCCCTTCTTGTGTTACCGGTAATCGCTTGGGTTACATTCAATACTTGTTCACTTTTATGGTCATAGTTTGACGGGAAGAATTAATTTTGAATGCTAACGATCTTATCTGAAAGTATTACGTATGTTAATATAAATATAGTTCAATTTAAGATATTTATAACCTTCCTCTAAATTTTATAACCTATATTTCTTTATAAATCATAAGTTCATATACTATCTCATATAATTATAATATAATATAATATATGTTGAATTATAAATTTGTTTAAGGTTCTATTAGCTTTACGAACTTATATAATATTATATATTGTGATAATAACAAACTTTATTTGTTTTATATTTTAAAGTATCTATAGCATAAAGATCAGAAATAAACTCCAACCATTCTGATGTTAGAACCGGGCCTTTTGTGCTCCAGATTTTCGAGACTTTAAATCTCCATTTTAATCCTATTTTCTCCATATTTAAACTTCACCATTGGATTAAATCTAAATCTAACAACTCATATTTTACCCTAATCTTTTAGGCATCCTACTCTCCAACCTTACATAATTAGCTTGTTAAACTTTCTTCAACAAATTGTGAGTCCACTGACAAATATCTCTCCAGAAAGCTAAGTTCTTGCTATTATATTGTTTTTAAGTGTTAAGCTTCTGTATAGATTCTTTGTGAGAGCTTGTACTTCTATGAGAATATTGTTTATCTTTATTCAAGAATTTGTATTAAGGTTAAGGTGTGGGAGCAACTCAAGATTTAGTAAGTGATTTAATCCTTAAAAAAAAAAGATTTAATGGAGTTTGATTTTGAACTAATAAAAAGATAGCAATGCTATCATCTTGAGCTAGTAAAAAAGGTTGGATCCAAGTTAAACATAAAAAATAATTAGCTTGCAAAAAAAGTGGTTGATCGATTTGATTCTCATCCAGACTCGTATGAACTCTTAGAGGTGGAGTAAGAATGTCCGAATCATAAAAACTTCGGATGGCTTCCCTCCTCGCTATACTTTTATATTTTCACAGCTTAATTAGTGTTGAATTACTTGCTATTTAATTAAATTGGGCAACTCCGTACAGTAACTAATTTCAGCTTGCTTTTTAAATTGGTCTAATTGAGACTTAGTTTTGGACTTTTAATCTAACAAACAACCTTATTCCCCACTAGTTTTCCTATGATCTTATAATTTATTTTTTTTATTTACCATAAGTGGGAGGAGAATTTGAGCTCATGACCTCTTGTCAATATCGTTGAGTTAAACTCATGTTGACCAAAACAAAAAAAAATTGATTTCTAATTTTCTATTTGTTGATGTTGATATCTAGTTCACTGACATGTCCAACAGAACAATCATCAAACATCTCCTGTAGGAACAGATCTAGGCACCGGTGAGATGTTCTGCCAAATATCCTCCAACGATTAAGTTAGAGAATGAGATAAACAGGAAGATATCAAGAGCTTTAGTCAAATTTATGTAGTGAATTCCACTTACCTTGTTGGACAGGGGTCTCCTTCCTCTCTTACAGGTGAGAGTGCCATTCGAGGAGATTGCTTTGTTCGAGACGTATAGCATACCTCTCATACATTCCCTAACATGCGTTGTTGGAGGACATTCTAGGTATGAGATTCAGTTTTCATCGTCATCCACTATGTCTCCCGCTACTGACTCTACCGTTGTCAGGACGACGCGGGCACACCTATACATACTCTGTCGGGGTTGTGTCGCCCTTTTCGTTGGCCTGTCCTATTGCAGGGAACTTGATCTCTGTTGTAACATGAGTCAAGTTATTCGTCCACGTATATGCTAGATTTCTCACCCAAAACAATATTTAATAGATTTTATGATCGATGACTACGATTGAAATAATAATTAAGAACTAAAGTGTTAAGTGTGTTCGATAGATTAATGGAATTAGTTTATAGCTTAAACATAAGACAACAACGTCGGCATCTCAGACACAAGATTTGGGTTTTTTTTTCCCTCTTTTTTGAGTACAACAAGATTTGGGATTTCTTCCTTAACGTGTTCCTCTTTTTCCTTTATATTATATTCATTTTAAAAATAATTTGAATGGAATTAGTTTATATCAAAAAGTAATTATTTTGTCCCAAATTGGCTATCCGCCAAGGAATGGACATGCTTAACGCGGACCTCGACAGCTAATACTTCTACAACGCACGCGTTACATAATTAATTATTTAATGTTTTTTTTTTAATTTATGTTGCTATAGAATAAGGTTAATATAAATAATTTCACTTTTGAATTAATATTGATATTGTTACTTTTTTTTTTTTTTTGTTAAATATGCAAACGGTATCAAAATCCACTATCTTTTTTAAGTATAGATATTGAGATTTGAACTTCGTAATGTTAAGAGAATAAGTTGAATACATTTACCGTTGGGTTATTATTTAAATTGTTTATAAAAGTTTTAACATTATTAATTAATAATAAATCAAACCACCGCAAATTTTAAATTTTAATATATCGTAGTATTATTCATTTTGTTTATAAATTTATCTTTGTATTTTAATTAATGTCATCAATAAACTATGTTAAAAAAAATGTAAAAATAAATTGTTACATTTTATTGGCATGTCTGAGAAAAAAAATTACTAGATTAATACATAATATCAAATATTTAATAATAAGGAAGATAATATTAGTCAGCCGTGAGAACCAAGTATATCTTTCAATTAAAAATTCTAAATATATAATCGACGAAAATTAAAAGGTAAAACTACCTATGTCAACAATAAACATTAACTACAATAGTTGAGAAAACAAATTAAATATCAAAGAGACAAACAAAAATCAAACGTATTGTGAGAATTGTGACCAATCAAATCTAATTTTTGGGTCGAGTGATGATATACTCAATTGACAAAAATCAATTAATTTCAAAAGGTTAAAAAGATGTATTTTGATCTATAAATTTTCACTAAACTTTCAAAGATAATAATTTGGTCTTTGTACTTTAAAATAAGTTATAATTTAATCTTCATCGTTAAAAATTGTTAGATTTAACAGAAACCTGACGTAGATGAAAATCTTTCAAAATAATAATTTGGTCTTTGTACTTTAAAATTAGTTATAATTTAATCTCCGTCGTTAAAAATTGTTAGATTTAACAGAAACCTGACGTGGAGGATCTATATGATCCATGTGTATGAATTAAATTGCCAGACAATAAATAAAAATTGAGAGACGAAATGTATTTTTTTTAACTGAGTTTGAATTTTAATATCGGAAAAAAGAAGAAGAACAAAAAAAAAAAAGAAGAAAAGAAATAGAAATGAAGTAAAATGGAAAAACCGTCAGAATCGGAGGGAGAACTTAGAAAACCATGTTAATGGGGTGCACGCAAGGACACGTTCCATCACCATGACCCGAAGGCGAAAACAAAACAACACGGTTTAGACGCTGTGAGTTTTCCAAGTGGGTCCCACCACCAGATTGCTTTCCAATTTATTTATTGCCCAAATTGTGACACGTGTCTTTTCTTAGATGCAAGCCCAGCCCACAGTGACAGCGAGGAGGGCGGGAACAAGAATTTCGCTTTTACCCATTTTGTCCTTCCCACCCACGTCTCCCCAAAATATAAACTATTACATTATATTTTTCCTGTTACTTAAATATCCTCATTTTTACTCTTAAAATAATAATAATAATAATAATTTTTATATTCTCTCATCAAATTTTCTTAGTTGACTTTTATTTTGCTTGGAGAATTGACTTTGATCACATTGCATCCTGCATACATGAACTTCGTCTGACACTTTTTTTTGTAATGTTATTAGCTTTAATTTAATACATTTTCAAGCATTTCGTGGAGTTTTCCCCTTGAAATAATTGAAAAAATAAAGGCCAAGATGATATTATGTAAGAAGTTCAATTAACTTTTTTAAAAAGTGTTTTCCCCTTTATTTTATTTATCTATTGTTTGTTCTTTTTGTTTTCTTTTAAAATATTTTCTAATACAATTTTGAAATAATTTAAAATTTTAGTGAATCTTTAAAGTTGAATTTTGAATTTTGAATTTTGTGTATAATAAATTCCTAAATATTAAATGTTATTATATAAGATTCATGGATATGTTAGTCAAGACATCAAAAGTTTAGGAATAGATTAGACACTATTAAAATTAAAAAAATATATTCAATACAACTTTAAAAATTTATTTAAGAACTAAATTGTAAATTTAACAAAACTTCACATGAGTGGTAGGTATGAAATATGAATAATGAATCTCCTCAATCATTTACAAATATCATTCATTTGAAGAAACGTCATTAATTACTAAACTAAACTAAGTATTTAAAACAGTTGAATTTAATTTAAAATGCAGAAGTAATATTATTAGGAGGGGTAAAAAAAGGAAAAGGTTGAGGGATGACAGAATCTTAGAGACGCGGCATGTTGGTTGGGCGAGGGTATTTTGGGGATAACGAGTATTTTATTTATAGACAGAGAATTGGCGATGGCCATGGCCTACTCTGAATTTTCCTTTGGGCTCAGAGCCTGCAACTCCTGCTGAGTGAAGAAGAGAAACCAAAGCACAGTGCCATGGAAGTTTTCAGATCAAATCCTTTCACTTTCACCTTTCTTTTTTCTCTTTTTCTTCTCGTCTTTTCTACTGCCGCTACCACCTCTGACCTCCCCTCGCTAAGCTTCCATGGTACTCTATTTTCCCTTTCTGAATCTTGTTTGCTCTTCCTCTCTAGGTGTTTTTAGTTGCTAACTGCTTGTTTGTTTGTGTGTGTGTATTTCTGCTTTTGGTGGGATCGAAACAGTTGGTCGAGGAGAGTTGGTTCGAGGAGCTGTGGAGCAGTGGAAGACGGGGAGGAATCTAGCGGAAGCGACAGTGGATAACTCGTCCTTGATATTGGCCGAGGGTAGGACGCAGAGAAAAGATCCACTTGATGATTTTAAGCGC